TGTGAGATAAATCCTCCCATCCTGTTTTTCACAAATGGACTTTGCTGTCCAATGGCATGATACATGTCTGACAGATCTATTTATCCATTCTATTTCTTTAGAGATAGCAGCTAAGAAGTTTTATCTATTATTTGTCTCTCGCTCCCCCCACCATTCCCATTTTCCTAACCAAGCATGTGGAGCAGGCAGTTGATGGATGGATGGTGTTTGGGATAAAAGGGACCAGAATCAGATAGTTTTCAGGATCCGAGCAAACTGGCTTATTAACAAGGAGGCCCCTTTGGCGGGAGGTGGTGGAGGAAGGAGGAATGGGTACCAGACAACGGCCAGTGATGGATGAAGGAGCACCTGGGGTTACAAGGTGTAGACACGAGATAACTGCGGGCCACAGCCTCCAGTAATGGGAGTGTCCAGGCTCCAATGCAGCCTCCTGCACAGAGGTGAATGTCAGACCAGCCACTTGCTTTCCTTTGACAGTCCTCCAAGAATTCCCTGCTGTAAAGGCAAGTCCCATTTCCTCTCCTCTTCCTTTCTGTAAAATGCAATCTCCATGCTCAACCAGGGAGAGCCGCTAGGCAGAGTGCAAACAGGCAGATGCCAGGCAGGGCTGGTTTTGCAACCAAGCAGGGGAAGGCAGTTGAGCATCGCTGTGGCCCCAGAGTCGTCTATTAATAAATGATTCTGCTTCTCGAGTGGAGGAATACCAGACGAGGGGCCTCTCTATCTCTTCTTCGAAAGTGGGCAGGTGGGTAGGCACCCCCCTACAATGAAACTGGACCTGCTCCTGTTGCAGCAGCAAGTTGGGGAGCTTTGCAGCAGCCACCCATGGACTGAGGCAGTTCCACCACTTTCAAGCTGTGTGGTCTTGGGCAAATCACTCAGACTCTCCGAGGCTCTGTCTCATCACCTGTCAAAGGCAGATAATAAATCCTTCCTCTTGCAGGCATTGAGAGGATTAAGCTGGATTAGGTATGTGAAAGTTCTTTGTAACTGGTAATGCCCTCTGCAAATATTAGTTATTATGCTGTTACATTTTCCCTTAATAACCCAGAGCTTGGGATATAAAAGCCTTCCATGTCCTTTATTAAGATATCTCCTAGGAGCTAAGCTATTTTATGTCTTTCTTGTTCTTGCGTGTTACAGTGGGTTTAGTACCGAAATGTACTAAACCAGTTTAAAGCAGTCTGAAATGACTTTTTAAAAAAAACCCAAACACACAAACCATAGTTCTTGCTGATGTTTTTGAAAATCCCCAGAAGCAGTGATGTCAAGGATACTATGGAGCACTGACTGTCCCAGGTACTCTCCTGAGTATGGTTAATTCACATCCTCCTGAACCCCAGGAGGAATTGCTGTGACTGTCCCCATCATCTAGACAAGCAAACGAGGCACAGAGGGGCCCGGAACTTGTGTAAGGCCACAGAGCTAGGAAATCACAGGGCCAGGTGAAGATACAAAAGCAGCAGCGTGGCACCAGGGCACACACGTCTCAGCACAGCCTCACTCCGTCTCTGTTCACCCGTTTCCAGCTCTGCCCAAGAGGTCGAGGTGCTCCCCCCACCCCCCCGCCAAGGACTCACAGCAAACTTACCCTTGAGTTTCTGAATCCCTCATCCCTCTGTATTGGAATTAACATTCCAGAAAGACAACTCAAAGAGGAAGACACCAAAGAGAAACATCTGATTTCATGACAGCATCCAATAAACAGGTTCTCAAAGGTGTAAAGTGTACTATTCCGGCGTGCTGCCGTTAGGGTTTCGGTGGTCATACTACGTTTAATACTAAGCCACAAAGGAGAAAACGAGGTGAAGACAGGATGTTGGAAGATATTTTTCCTAAGTTTCTCTCTATTCATCTCCTACCTCTGCTGTACCCTGGGCAGGCTTTTTGACCCACGTGAGTTTTGGTTTCCTTCTCAACATATACACATGCTGCTCAGGTTTACCTCACCACTGATGACAGTTTTCAGCTCTTTTCCTCTGTAAAGTTTCCCTGGAGATTTCTGGTGGGCCCCAGCATGTGTTCCGAAGTTCCCTAACAAGGATTGTACTTCCAGCCCTACCTGACATCAACAATGTTTTGGCCTCTTTTGTTTTACTCTCCCTCTGTAGTGCTGTCCACCCAGCTGACTGAATGCTGTCAGTGCTGTATCGTTGCCACTATCTCAAGGTTGCTGTACCCCAAATTTTATGATGCCCCCATCATGTACCACTGATCCACTAAAGAGTCTATCTGGCCTGGGATGGTTCTGCCCTTGGCCCCACTCACCTTCCTTTTCATTAATTCATGCAACAATGACTTATTGTTGCCTGTTGTGCCAGGCCCTGTACTGGGTACTTGGGACACGTGAGTGCAGTAGATAGACACTATCTCTGCTCCAGGGACATGATATTTCAGAAAGAATAGGAGACAGCAAACAAACTATAATACAGTCTCTGCGGAGCCTGGAAACACTGGCAAACAGACATCTGTCATTAAAGACATCGTCAACCTGTAACACAAAATGTGTCCAACAAGATGCTAATTACAAAGGTCCCCAGGGAAACCTGGCCAAGCGTCCTGAGGGCTTTCCACTTCAGTCCCGCTCTTTCCAGTGGGATTTTTGTATAAGTGCTCGGGAGCAGACCAGAGCTCTCTCCTTTAAAACAAAGATTGCATTTTCCTCTGGATTCTCTGTCAGCAGAGGCTTTTCTCCTGGCCTCAGCATCTATGTTGATTTTCATAGTCAGCCCGTCCATGGCAAGGATCATGTTTCCCTTTGAAGCTTCCCCTACATGTCACCTGCTGACTGTATTAATATCTACCCCATCAGATTCAAATAAAGATTAAATGAGATGATGCAGATTAAAAGATTTCATAAACAGAGACGTGCTCTATAATTGGCAGCTATTATTATTACTACTATTGTGAAAATAATTATAACACTTATTATTCCCACAGAAGTTATATTATTACCCCAAGGTCACAGAGGAAGTGTAGACACAGAACTCCCTGTCTTGACATCAAGCACATGGCCAAGCCCCCAGCATTTCAGAGATTCACACTCTGAGATACCCCAGGTATCCTGGGCTGTGATCAAGCATCCAGGACCACTGCCAGGCTACACACTGCCTGGCCTCGGGCCCCACAGATGCTGCAGCTCCTTCACGGGGATGCCGGTGTGAGCTACAGTTGCCAAGGTTTTCCAAAAGCACAGTCTGCATTTATTTTGTTTAATTCTTACATTCTGTTTCAGCCTCCTCCTAAATGCATTTGTTTGCAAAAAGAGCCACGAGGGGAAGTTCAGCCCACAAATAAGAATATAATTATTACACAGTTTAGCTGTGCCTGGGCGTCACCCGGGTATTCACCGGTGCTCGACAATTCAATTGTCTCTCCTTCAAGACTGTATTTAATAGGATAAACAATTTCTGCTAAATGCAATAAACGTGAACCTGCGCTGTCATCTCCATAATCAACTCAAATTTCCCATTAGAAGCAGTGGCTGTGATTGAGATTCAGAATTTAATTTGGCAGTACTGCCTTCCACATGCCTGTATCAGCTTCATGGGAGCCTGCCATCAACCCAAGACAGAACCTCTCTTTCCTGTCTCTGGGGAATCTTAAAAGAAGATAGATTATAACACAAGAAAATTATACAGCCTTGGTGTAATGAAAGAGATAAAACATTATTGGATTAGCCTGTTGAAATAACAACAGACGGCAAAGCAATAATATTAAGCCAAACAAGGGCCTGGACCCGTGAGTTCAATTGCAGGGGCCATGAGGATGCAGAAGGCAGACAGGATGGACATGCTTGCTGCAGCAAGCCCTGAGCACTAAAGGATCAGTCCCTTCTACATTGTTCTATACTGACTCAGTTCCAGAGAGTCAGGCAGCACGATTGGTGGGTCAAGTTGGGGACCTGTGCTATGGTGTCATGGACGTGTTATGGTCTTGGGTCCAAGTACCTAGCCCAGTGGCAAACTTACAGCAGATCATGTGGCTGAAAACAAATCGATCGAAAATACACAGGATGAACCAATTCACCTTCAATCAACTGTTTTTCCTTCCCCCACCCATTTGATTTCAACAAATTCACATGATGTTATGCAATCTAACAGGAAGTTCCTGAGAGCAAAGAAAATATTAATGGATGTTCTAATGAGACAGAATGAAAGAGAACAACAAAGCTTAAATGATCACTTGACTCCGTCTAAAAAATAAAAATATTTTGGTGCTTAGTAACCTAAAGGTCAACTGTACGCTTATTCTCATCTGTAAGGACTTCCCTCCCCAAATGAGATTTTCACAAAAGCATGAGTGAGCAGAGGACGGCGTACAGAGGCACAGAAGGTTTACACTGCCCATCACTCCACCAGCTTGAACATCCCCTGATGTGTTTCCTCTTCCAACCACGACAGCCTCTTTTTTTCTTTCTTTTTAAACTCTGATTCAGTGATGAATTTCCCTTGTTCTTGTCTCTTGTTCAGCATCTTCTCTGGGTACCCACTCATGTCACAACAACTTAGCTCTGCCCCAGAACAAACTTCCCGTGCTCGAAAAGGAGCTGAGGAACCTGGATCCACGCTCTTTGGGATGCAGCAGGTGGGGATTTGTCAATCACTCACACTCACACACAAACATACACACACACATACACACACACACACACAGCACCTTCTTCTACATTGTATTTTGTAAAAATTCTTTGTTAATCCAATGTCCAATATGGAAAGGAGGGGAACATCACTGTTAAGAGTTTAAAGCTCCGGAGCCTGAGGGCCCAGGTTTGCAGTCCAGCTCCCCCACTTCCTAACTGTATAACCCTGGACAAGTAAGTAACTGAACTCTTCTAAGCTGGTATTTCTGCTGTTTAATAGGGCTAATAGAATATCCACCTTATAAGGTGATCCTTGAGGATGGAATGAATGAATGAATGCATTGAGCACTGACTGGCTGACACTAATCATTCAATAAACCTAAACTGCCAACTGACGTGATAAATGAGACAGTATGGCCTCAGGATAGGGACAGTTTAATATCTATTCAAGGATCCATATTGGGAACCTACTCTTTGCAGGTCACTGGTGGATAGTGGGACTTTCACATGGACAACTTCCAACACAATCCCCAGCTGGTAGTAAGTGTGAGTAAAATAAAACTGCTGAGATGAGCAAAGTGAAGATTACCAGGATGGTTAAGCCCTTCAGGAGACCCTAATTACTGTTTAACTTACTATTTGTTCAAACCAATGTGCACTTGACAAATAATATATTTATTTTAAACATTCTAAATGGCACAGCCCTCCACCCTTGGGCCAGCTGCAGATGGAAGCAGGCGTGGGGCTGAGTTGGCTTGATTTCTAAGGGCTCAGCACTTATGCTATGTGCAGACCACAGGAACATCACCTGCTAAATTCTTTCCCTTCCTTAACAGTTAAGTGTTTCTGAAGCAGGGCCCAAACAGGGGTTGCCCCCATTTCCAGGAGGTGGATTGGTGCACTGCCTTTGTCTTGTTTTATGTCCTCCAGAACACGGAGACCAGTTTGACCAGCAATTCCACTTCCCATCGATGGGGACATCTATAAGAAAGAAGGTCAATGAACGTTAATTAGCCTTTATTATACCCTAATGCCCATGGCAACCCACTCCAGTGTTTTTGCCTGGAGAATCACAGGGACGGGGGAGCCTGGTGGGTTGCTGTCTATGGGGTCGCACAGAGTCAGACACGACTGAAGCAACTTAGCAGCAGCAGCAGCAGTGCCCTACAGGAGGGGTGAGGTGTATAAACCCTAGGGCACTGGGAATCTGAGTCTCTGATCTCCCCACTCCGGTCCACTGTCCTTCTTTCAGGCCACTCACTCACTATGCTTCCTTTAACCACAGGGCCTTTGCACATGCTGTTCTCCTGGCCCCAAATACCCTTCTCTCCTCTGTTCCTCTGGTCAATCCTATTTATCCTTCAGATCTCAGTTTAAGTGTTATTTCTGCAGGGAAACCTTTCCTGTTTCCTAATTCCCCATCAATATTTCATATTTTAAGCTCTCCGAGCATTTTGTAGCACTCACAGTTGAAACAAACAATCCAAATGATGTTGGTCTTTCTTTCTTTTTTTTTTTCATTTATTTTTATTAGTTGGAGGCTAATTACTTTACAATATTGTAGTGGGGTTTGTCATACATTGACATGAATCAGCCATGGATTTACATGTGTTCCTCATCCCGATCCCCCCTCCCATTGGTCTTTCTTCCTAAAGCGCAATCTCCATGGTGAGAGGAATTATATCTGATTTTCCCACCACTGAATGAACTCCAGCACCTAAACTGGCACATAGGAATCCCTGAGTCCATATTAGTGGAATAAATGGTTTCTAGCTTAGACAATTCCAACGTATACAATGCTAGATAGTTAACTTCTTCTCAATGTATCAAATGGGAGCTCTGTTATCCACAGTGGTCACTGTGTGCCTTAAATGAAGTGATAACACTGTTCACCCCTCCCTGACACTTGCCTTTCCCTTTAGGATTTCTGGTTGTTGATGAGCCTGGAAAATAGTCAATTACATTCACCATGATGGATATGCACATGGCTGAGCCTCTAACTTGCAATGTAGTTCTGGGTACATTATTTAACACCTCTGGGCCTCACCATTGGTAACACGAGATACCAGGAGAAGGAGATTTCCAAGGTCTCCTCCAACCAGTGGAAATCGTGTGATTTTTGTCATTACACTCTTACTGGACAGATCACTGTCAGGGGTCTGGTTGAGATATAGCAAGAGAGGGTCTGAAGAAACCCCTGAGCCCTTTACTGGGGAGGAGGGCAGAGCAGGCACCACGAGCAAAGGCAACAGACTCACTGGGCCTGAAGCTGGGTCCCTCTATCTACTACGTGACCAGGGGCAAGTTAGTTAGGCACCTACTGAACCTCAGATTCTTCATCTATGAAGCGGGGGTATTGGCAGTATCTACTTCATGAGGTTATTGAGAGGATGAAAGGATTTCATATATGTGAGATAAAAATTAATTATATATTTTGCTCTAAAACAAATATTTATTTTGCTCTTTAGATGGGTTAGGCATCCTTCCAAGTGCTTTTTATGTCTCAAGAGAGACTCAAGACAACTCTTTGAGATAGTTAACACATTATTGACCCAGGATTTTTGCAGAAACTAACACATGTGGCATTAATATTGCATATGTGTACATGCATGCATGCTCAGTTGTTCAGTCATGTCCGACCCGATGGACTGTAGCCTACCAGGCTCCTCTGTCCAAGGGATTATCCAGGCAAGAATACTGGAGTAGGTTGCCATTTCCTCCTTCGGGGAGCTTCCTGACGCAGGGATCAAGCCCATGTCTCTTGTGTCTCCTGCATTGCAGGCAGATTCTTTACCACTGAGCCATCAGGGAAGCGTTAATATTGTGTTGACCAAATTACGGTCAAATTATGGTTCAGATTGTTCCATAAGATCTTATAGAAAAAGGTGAAAGAACTTTGTGGTCAACCCAATACATCTCTGGTCAATGATGTGCTAATATCATCATCTCCATTTTAAAAATGAGGAAATTAAGGCACAAAGAGTTCAAGTAATTTGCTATTAAATGATGAGATGGAATTTGAATCCATGCTGAGTCAAAGCCCTCACCAAGTTATCTGCTACCAAATGGTGTGTGTGTGTGTGTGCTCAGTTGTTCTGTCATATTTGACTCTTAGTGACCCTGTGGACGAGGCAAGAATACTGGAGTGCGTTGCCATTTCCTCTTCCAGATCTTCCTAGTGGAGTATTTAATACATGTTTGGTGTTTTTATTGGATATGCCATTTCCTTTTTTAATGGTATCACCAAAAATTCACAGAAAGGAAAAGAAAGGGGCGGGGGTGGGAGATAGGCGGTGTTAAGAATTCTTAGATAATAAACTGGCTAAAGAATCTAACTCGAGGAGATCATTATGGTAATCTAGTCTTTCAGTTGTTAATTCAACAGCAGTAACTGTTTGTGGGAACCTGAGGACTGAGATATAAACTAGACATAATCCCTACTCACAGACAGGGGAGGGAGACACACACAACCCAAAATAGAATGTGCTAAGAGCTATAAACAACATATATTCAAAGTCTTATGGGATCCCACAGTAGAAATTAACTAATTCTACATGGGTTCGAATAATTTTTACAGAAGAAAGGGCATCTGTGTTGGATTTTGAGGGTTGAATAGGAGTTCACTAAATAAGGAAAAAAAAAAGATAAACATTCCAGAATGATTTAAAGAGATGACTTGCAGTTGCCATGCATTAGCAGTCCTGTAATATGGAGTACTTTCAGTTGTGAAAATATAAAATTAGGAGTCAAGATGGATCTCAAGGGCTTCCCTGGGGGTCAGTGATTCAGAATCCACCTGCCAGTGCAGGGGACATGGGTTCAAGCCTTGGTCGGTCCAATAAGATCCCACATGCAGCAGGGCAAGTAAGTCCAGCGCCACAGCTGCTGAGCCTGAGTTCTAGAGCCCAAGTGCCCAACTACGTAGCCTGGATGTTGCAACTACTAAAGCCTGCTATTTGCTAGAGCCCATGCTCCACAATAAAAGAAGCCATCACAACGAGAAGCCCGCACACTGCCATGAGGAACAAGCCCAGCTCCTTGCAACTAGAGAAAGCTTGCACTCACATCAGTGAAGACCTAGCGCAGCCAAAACAATAAACAAAGTTTTAAAAATACAAAGATGGATTTCAAGTTTCAAAGTGTCCAGTTCCCTAGCCCATGCCCTGACTTTGCTCCTACTCTTTCGAATTATTCTCTGGACTTCCCTAGGCTTCCCGTTCCTAACCCATCCTCACAGACTCCTTACTTTTCCGATGCGTGACCTCACAGGCCGAGCCTTGGAATCCAGCAGGACAGATGCACTCACAGCGTGTTCCTGAGAAGACAATGCAGAGAAAACGTGAATCACACCATGTGAAACAAAGAGCTCCTGGAGTTCAACCCTTCCTCCATTTCACAGCTTTTCCATGAGGTTAAAATAGGACAACCGTTCAACTGAACGGTTTGAAATAAGAAGGTTCAGTGCCAAGAATACTCACTCCTTTCTTGAAGGTCCTTTGCTCATGAAAGGGTTTTTATTCCACCACAGAAAATGATGTAGAGCTACTGAGAAAAATTACCCATTAGCTGACCTTTGACCTAGACTTATGGATTTTGGGGGTCAGAAGATACATTACTGAGGTGATTGGGGCCAGTGGTCATTGGTGCTCAATTTCACATCAAGTAATTGCCTAGTCATTGCTTGAACACCTCTGGTGATGGGGAACTCACTACTCTTGGACAACTCATGCTACCTTGGGCTTCCCCTGTGGCTCAGCTGGCAAAGAATCCACCTGCAATGCGGGAGACCTGGGTTAAATCCCTGGGTTGGGAAGATCTCCTGGAGAAGGGAAAGGCTACCCCATTCCAGTATTCTGGCCTAGAGAATTCCATGGACTGTACAGTCCATGGGGTCACAAAGAGTCAGACATGACTGAGCGACTTTCACTTTCTTTCACTTTTCACTTTCATGCTACGTTTGGCTGGTTCTGACACTTTAGAAATTATTCTTTATGTTAATCTGTCACATGTCACCCTGGAGCTTCTCTCACATCAATCACATGAACTCTCTTTACAGGACTGTCCTTTATAGGCCAGGCCCTTCCAGCCTCTGGCTTCCTTTTCTTCCTTACCTCCAAAGTAGAGCCTCCAGCGAGTCCCAGTCTCTAGCTCCACATTACACACAAGGCAAGGGGGATTTCAGCAACCCTAGATCAAAATCTGGAGCATGTGAATGGATCCTACATCCTGCTGAACTGACCTTTACTTACAGGTCCTGTCCCTGAGGGAGGGAGAACTCCCCATCTCCGGGCTGTCACATATGCCTGCTTTGCTCGTCTCCATCCCCTCTGAGAAGCCAGACACACATTCATCTGTCTCAGCTGAGTAGGTGGGCTCTTTCTCCCCGAGAACAGATCTCGTCTCGTGTCCCCTCTGTTGAGCTCACTCTATCCACATGAGTTCTGCCGGCTGGCTCCTCGGGCTGGAATCTGCTGTACCCAGGTGCTCTTGGCACCCTGTTTCAGCATTATGTTGGACTGGACCCTTCCTCAGCCCATCAAAACAAGAGCAGAAGACCCCAGGTCCCAGCTCTGCCCACGTTTGCTCTGCCCACTGCAGTGACCCCGGATGTGACCCTCAAGTTAGCAATGAAGTTCTCGTGGCTCATCCATGCTGCTACCTCCCCATCCTCCAATTGTCTCACCACGTGTTGGCCAGGATATGCAGGAGGAGGGGTTTCCCCTGCTCGGCCCAGGGAGGGCCTTTTGTCTGACCAGGACAGAGTCCCAGAGTCCCTCCCCACTCCCTGTTACAGGCCATAGCATCTCAGCCCATCCCTGCCTTCAGTTCAACACTTTCCCTTGTGGCTAGAACCTAGGTATCCTGACAGCCCAAGCAGCTTCTTCTAGCTGCCTGCATTCTGACATCCTGGTCCTAACACTGGTACATTTCAACACAACCTATGGGTCAAGTCTAGCTCTCCTGCTAGTCTAAAAGCTCAGCAAAATCATGGATTCTGTCTGCCAGTGAATTCAGCTGTGGAACAGCTGCCCAACTCTCACTGTACACTGAATTATCTGGTAGGCTTTTTAAAAGGCCAATCCCAGTGATTTGCTTTAACTGTTTTGGGCTGAGGCCCCGGGCTTTGTGTTTGTGAAAAGCTCCCTGGGTGATTCTCACGTGCACCTTGACAGGAGCTTCATGCACCTTGCCATCAGTCCCACCTGAGTACAGGCGCTTCCTTAGTCCAACCCCACCTCACTGTGCCCCAGGAAGGTGGGGACTTTAGCAGTGGTGGGTCACACCCCAGCCACAAATTAGAACCACCAGAAGAGGAGAGGGTTTAACCATCCTGATGAGGGTCCCTTCCCTAGAGTTTCATGTGAAGATCATATTTGGGGTCCTAGCGTCAGTAGTTCTAAAGATCCCCAGTGGTTCTAATGCCCAACCAGGGTGGAAAGGCTCAGCTCTTAAAAGGCTCCAAATGGCCAGGGGCTCATATATTTTTCCTCTGAGACAAAGAAGGGAGCTTTATGACAGTCCCTGGGGCTTGAGGCAGAGGACTGGGAAATAACCTAGAAATTCCCCTGGAGATCCACATCAAACCTTGACCTAGAAACACACCTCTGGAGGGTGTGTGGATCTGATGTGATCTGGCCCCAGAACCAGCCCATCCAGATGGTAGTTCCCACAAATGACACTGGAAACGGCACCTTTCAGGACAGGGACTCCGTTCCCCTGGCAGGGGGCACACTGGCAGGGGCTGACTTCCTTCTGGAACTCCTCCAGGGCCTTCTTCATGTTCTGCCTCACTGTGCTGGAATAGGCGAAGTCCGAAGCTGTCACCAGTTCGTACAGAGGCATTACCTGGGAAAGGAGCAAAGGCGTTGATTTCAACAGAATCCATTGGTCATATAGTAACAAAAGCCCAAAGTAAGGCTCAATAGGAATGGGCAGGTTTGGTGCATGCAGATCACAGTGGATTCATATGGAACTGGATGGACACCCCATCCTTTCTCTTTCCCATCCCACCCAATAGCCACAAACAAGCCCGTTCAAGTTCAGGTCAACAAACACTTGCTGAATACCTTCCAAGTGCCAGGCATGAAGCATAGTAAGGAATAAGATAAAATCCCCACTTCACTCCCCCAGAACCCAGAATCTAGAGATACAGACAGTCGTACTAATGGATACTTACAGAACGGTGGTTACAGGCAAAAGTAACTTATAATGGGTAGAGAGGAGAACGAAATTACTCACTAGTGTCCAACTCTTTGCAACCCCATGGACTATATAGCCTGCCAGGCTCTTCCATCCATGGGGTTTTCCAGGCAAGGATACTGGAGTGGGTTGCCATTTCCTTCTCCAATTGCAGGACAGTAACCAGGGTAGAGAGGAGCAGCTGGTTAATCTCTCTTTGGTGGGAAAGGGGAGGCAATTTGCAAGCCGCTCTTTGGAAGTATTATAGGAGCCCTGTTTCAGCAATACCCGCCACCACAAACCTGTGAAAATCCTTCATGTCATGCAAAAGTCACCATTAGGGAAACTTCCCCCGAGCTCTGAAGCTTCCAGAACACCTTCCTACTATGAAACACTCAGCATACTGTCTATGCTACTCATCCAATGCAAATTCGACCTCCTTTCTCCCTGGTGGTCAATGTTTTGGGCTGAAGTCCCTTTTCCTTCATCTCTAATTAGATTGTAAGCTCCTGAAGATCAGACCTATATACTGCTCAGCTGTGTCCCCAGGGTGCAGGCCCAAGCTTAGTGAGAGCGGCTATAAGAGTGGGTAGAAGGATGAAAAGGGAAGGGAAGGCCTCGTTAGGGTAACAGCAGCTGGCATGGAGGCCAGGGTATGGCAAGCAGAGAGAAAGATGCTCTCAGTGGGCATGGCAGTATCTGAGAGCAGGAGACCACAGATGGATGTGGGGGTGTTTGCGGCCTTGGAAAAGACAAAGTCCAAAGAGGTAGTTAAATATGTTCAGAGCCTCTTGGCTCAGTTTCAGCTCCAGGGTCAGGTTCCTGGCCAGATTTTGTTTGTGATCCTACCCTAATCCGGTCCTGGAGAGTTTAGGGTCTGTCTAAACACAGGCAATCATGCCTAATAGAAGCCTCCAGTGGGAAGAAAATTGCTTCCATTTCTTAATGCATCTGATGCTGACCTTCACTCCAGTGGGCAAAGCAAGGCCCCTTGGTGGTCCCATTGTCTCACCGTTTTGTGGTCAATGAATTGATCCAGAGGCTGTTTGCAGAATGGTCCAGCTTCTGGCCACACATGGTGGGTAGGCGGGGGTACATAGGGGGTTGCTGTACACCCACAATAAGCTCCTCCAACAGCCTGCTCTCCCTGCCAGAGCACCTCGAAAGGCTGCTTTTAACCTGCTTTTGACCTACCAGGCATTTTCCTACCAGCTCTGAGATCTGCTTCAGGAGATAAAGTCAGTGGCACTTCCACATATACTGTGTGCCAAGGGCTGTGCTATGATCCTCCTTCACCTTCGCACGGGAGCAATTACCAGCGCCATTTCAGGTGAGGTTAAGTTGAAGAATGCATTGAATAGCGCTGCCAGGATTCTAATCCCAAACCTGTGCTTCTCCTACTAGTTCATGAAAACTGGTGATAAAAATGGTGATTATTCTCCTTTCCAACCTCTATTCCAGGGTTCTCCAGGACAGTTTGCCTTGGAACTTGGCAGCAGTGCCTCAAGATTCCCTCCACAGTTCCCTTTTTAACTTAATGTGGCTCTTGTCTTTTTTTTTGGTTTGCTGGTTCCTTTTTCTGGTCTTTTTCTCTTTTGTCCTCTCCTTCTTTTCTCCCTTCCTCCCTCTTTCTTCTACATTTCTCCCCCAGACACCCAATCCTAACTGCTCACATTGATCACTGGGTCCTTAGCACACCTCCACTTGTGAAAACTGTTGATTACATTGGTGGTGGTTCAGTCGCTAAGTTATGTCCGACTCTTTGCAACACCCTGAAGTGCAGCGCGACAGGCAGGCACGGTCTATGAAACTCCATGCAGTTCCCCATAATGGACCCTGGTGATTGGCATCCTTGATTATTGTCATAGCTAGCATTCATTAGCTGCCGAACTAAAAATATACCTTATCCATCCTAACCTTCACAACAATCTTAGGAGTCAGGTAGACTTCTGTATCCCCAGTTTACATAGACTTCTGTATCCCCATTTTATAGATGGCAAAGTGGAGGCACAGAAAACTTAAATTTACCAGACTAACACTCAGTAAGCAGCAGAAGATATGAATTGCTACCACTGTGGTTTGTGCCCTTTCAGAATATGTTTTTGGAAGGGTAGATGGACAGATACTTATACCAAATTGATGGCATAAGAAAAGCACATGTTTACATTCCACTTTTTTCACTTAATATCATATTCATAAATGTTCATATTATGAACATTTTCCTATGCTATTCAATAATCCTTGATAAAATGATTTTCATGACTACAAGGTATCCTGTTGTACTGGTGAACTACGATGTATTCAACTATACCCTGTTATTGAATCTTCAGGTTGTTTCCACTTTTCTTTTTCCCTTTTGCTATTACAAATATGGTTATCCTCCCTTATTAGTCAGGATACATTCCAAGACCTTTGGTGATTGCCCAAAACCATGAAGAGTACCAAACTCAACACATACTGTTGTTTCCTATACCCATATACTATGATTAATTTAATTTATGAATTAGGCATGATAAGAGATTAGCAATGGGAACTAATAATAAAATAGAACAATTATAACAATACACCGTAATATAAGTTATGTGAATGTGCTCTCTCTCTCAAAATATCTGATTATACTGTACTTACCCTTCTTCTACTTGTGATGACATGAGATCATAAAGCCCTAACATGATCAGATGAAACGAGTAAATGACGGAGGTATTATGACACAGCATCAGGCTACTGTTGATGTGTCATCAGAAAGTTCATCTGCTTTGGGTGGTCCTGGATTACTGAACCATGATCATGTTAGGGGTTGGATGTCAGGAGCAGATGGTGTTGATGGCTGGGGATCCCAGGTGGGGATGCAGTGGGATAGTGCAAGATTTCATCACACTAGTCAGAATGGCTTGCAATTAAAAAGTTTAAAATTGTTTCTTTCTAGAGTTTTCCATTTAATATTTTCAGACCACAGTTGATGATGAGTAACTGAACCTCAGAAAGCAAAACTTCAGATAAAGTGAGATTACAGCAGCATAAAATGAGGCGGGTCTTTATAGATACATCTTTATCAACTTTTAAAATGATTTCTATAGTCGATTTTTGCATTTAGGGTTATTGGATCAAACACTGTAAACATTTTTAATGTCTTGAATATATACAGTTAAATTCTTTTCCTAAAGGGTTGTACCATTTTATAGTCCTATTTCATAATATGAAAGTTTCCATCTCATTGCTCCCAATAAGGTTGAGTATTAAAGATTTTTAATCATCATTAATCTGATAGGCAAAAGATACTTTGTATTGTTACTTTTTCATTTTTATTTCTGAGAAGTTAAAATTTTGCTTATTTATCATCTGAATTCTTCTGAGAGTTTTCTATTTCTTTGAGATATTTTTCTTATAAATAGTATCATTCCTTACACATGAAAGATTTCACGTGTGGCAAATTATTTTGTTGTTGTGTTACCTTCCACTTAATAATATTTGTGGGTTTCCTTATTTGAAATTCAGAATTTATTATTTCAAGTGAGATCTGACAGTCTAAGTCCGAAATATCTTACTGATTCATGCTACCACGGCATCTACATTTTAAACCTTCTGTTGATCAGAGTAACTTGCTTTTAGAGAATCTTTGAATAAGTTGCTTCAGTAAAGTGTAATGGTCATAATGACTGTTTACCAAACGTATCAGCTTCTTTTCCTTCTGGGCACTTGGCAGGACTGCTTTTCCCTGAACCATCCTTAAAGGAAGGCTTGCAATGTGACTTTTTCTGAGCTGTGAGAGGTAAGCAGAGGGAGCATCCCTTCCAGGTTGAAGCTCTGGCAGCAGTGTGCGCTGAATTCTCCCATTCCTTTACCAACGCTGTGATGATGTTGGGAGCACATGACAAGATAAAACCTCCACTGCCCAGATCCCTGAGTGATATTCAGAAAAGCCCCTTTACCAGTACACTCTGGACATGACATGTGACTGAGCAATTAACTTTTGCTGGATTAAGTTGTTGAAATTTGAGGCTGTTTCACGGTGGCATAACCAAGGCTCTCCTGATGCCTCATTGAACCACTCACCACTGTATTTTCCCTTCTACACTTGGTCATGCCATGTTCTGTACCACGGACTCTCCATAGCCTGAACCCCAGACCACAACCTAGCCACACCAACCACAGTGGATATGTACACGGATGACAGACTTTGTGACTAAGGTTGCCAATCAAATATAGAATTCTGAATTAAAACTGAATTTCAGATAAGTAACAAATGAAATTTTAATATGAAGTGAAAAAGTGGTAGTCACTTAATCATGTCTGACTCTTTGTCATGGACTGTAGCCCGCCAAGATCCTCTGTCCATGGGATTTCCCAAGCAAGAATACTGGAGTGGGTTGCCATTTCCTTCTCCAGGGGATCTTCCCAACTCAGGGATTGAACCCAGGTCTCCCGCATTGCAGGTAGATTCTTTACCATTTGAGCCACCAAATATGTCCCATGAAATATTTGAAAGATGCTTATCCTAAGAAAAATATTCTTTATTGGTCTGAAGTTCAGAATTAGTTGGACATCCTCTATTGCCAGGCTCCTCGGAATGTCTTGGGGAATTTTTTCATCCCTTAAAGACCATCTCGTTGGGATACAAGCTTTCTCCTTCATGGCTGTCACTCCACAATCTTTAGGCATTTAGCACTATGAAGAATTCTAAGGTCAGTATGACTTCTATTTTTGTAGGATCTATTTGTTCCTCAAAGTAAAAAATTTCACCACGCTGTGTTTCAGTATTGTTTTATCTTCAGTACTTTTGCCTGCTTTTCAATGAGATGTTCATTTTGCATTATCAACTCAGGGAAGTTTCCCTTATTATGTGCTTGATTAATGCATCTTCACATTTAATCCTGTATCTTTCTCAGGAAGAATGCTCTGGGCTTTAGATTTCCACTTCTGTACTCTCTGTCCATCATATTTCTTTTATATCATTGCTTTAATCTCTTTGTCTTTTGCTTCTGCATTATAGGAACATTTTTACAGCACCTTCCACATCACTGACTCAATTTTCTGCAGTGTCAATTCTGTTCTTTATAGTTTCCAATGTAGGTTTTGAGTCTACTATTGTGCTTTTGGCTTCCTATATTCAGCCATTTCCCTTTTCATCTGATTAGTGTCTAAACATCTCAGCCTCTATTTTTTAGTTCATAAATTCTTTATTTTCTTATAATCACAAAGCAAATATATTGTAAAATTTACTTCTATGCTTAGACGTATGCTTGTCTATTTTATCTTGGATATAATTTCAATCTTTTGTGTTCAAAATTGTCTTTATATATGTCCAATGATTTCTCTACCTCTTCTCTGAACAAAGCGCCATCTCTCTATATCTAACGTTCACCAGTAAACAATGGGAATGGGCTCTTCTCTGGTCTTCTTTCCTGCCTGCCAGGCTCCTATAGGAACTGTGTTTTCAGATATTGATCTTTAAGACTGGTTTATGTACATGAGCCTTGGCCAATACTCTTGTGTCTAGGAATTCCTTATTGAGTGGTCTCTGCTCTCTTGGAAAGCAACTGCTGCACCAACTACCTGGTAAGCCGCTTCTGCAGAGAATTATTTTGAGATAATATGAAGTCATACACAGTTTTCTCTTGCCAGAAAGAATCTATGACTACAATAGATGTTTCCAACTCAAGTTAGGGATATATAGGAGAAATGCATAAAAGACTTCAACAAATTCACCTCTGCCACTGCTGGAAACATCTCTGATTTTCTAATCTCTCCCCTTTCAGTCTCCACAACCCTTCAAAGCACTACACTGATGGTAGATACGATACTTTCCAGGGCATCACACATATGCTGGGAAGCCTCTGTGCCGTCGCTAAAGTGCCACATCTCTCAGGATGGTGGCAGGTCTGAGATGCTTAGAATGCTAACATGTGCTCTCTCTCTTTCTCACAAACACACACCACACACATCCCATTATCATATCCCATGCTGCTGGATACTTGACATTCTCAATGCCCATGATGGTACTTCCAACCTAAATGGATAGGTAACCAGAGCAATCCATTAATTCTAAGTTTAAAACAAAATTAAGGTAAGATATCAGCAAAAAGTAAAGACCAGGGGTCTATTTTTCCATGAACTCTCTTCTCTCCAATGCTTGTTGGTGATACCAACCAATGTCACCATGTCATCAGCCCATCTCAGATTTCTCTAGAGCCTCCAGCAAGCTATGGCTCACTTTACCTTTCTCAATGCTTGCCAGCAACTAAGCCCTAAGTGTCACTACTGAATAAGTGGCAGAGGAAAGAATTTGAATGGCAGCCTTCTTGTTCTGCAGCAACCATGCAATTGACATATAAATAAAGACACTGGAAAACTGCCAAGTTGGGGAACTGCACAGCCTCTCATCAGAGCTCCAGCCCCTTAACTCCTCTCCTTGGCTGCAAGAGTAAATCTCTGGAGGGTGGATGCCGGACCATCAATAATTGTACAGACAATGGCAAGAAGAGGGCAGTGTAAGATGTGATACAGACACCGTGCTGAAGTACCCACAGGCAAGGACCAACCCTGCTGACGTGTATGACATTGCTGCTCTAGCAAACGTCTTTTTAGCTTAAGGTTGTAAAACTGCCATTGTTTGGGTGACAGGTGGTTGGGATCATTATTTTCTATTTACAAAACCTGCAAGAAAATCTGCAGGGGAGGGAAGAGGTCAACTTTTCAGGTCTGGACTCTTGAGCAGTCACAGACAGATGAAACCTCTGTGACCTTGATTTTTTACCAGCCATAAAATGGAGATAAGCATACTAAATTTGCAGGCTCATGAGAATTAGATGAAATAACATTCCCAAAGTCCTTGGCAGAGTATCATGAACATGGTAGGTGCCCAAAACGTGTTAGTGATCTCCATTATGTATTATGCTGTCCTGTAAGACAATGATGCACACATGTATCTTACTCTTCAGCATAGACTGTGTTTTTCATCCTTGCACCCTCCTCTGTTTTCCTCCATCACATCACAGGAACTTAGCAACGACTTGCTGGTTGCAGGAATGAATGTTTAAATGAACAAAGACCTAAATGAGGGATTCCCCAATAAACTGCAAACAATATTGATTTAAGAAGCCTGGAAGTAGAAGCCAATTGTTAACTTACTTGGACAACTTGGGAGCCCAAGTGAGAGGCAGTGAGGGGTCTCTAGCTGGTGTTGAGCAGTATATCACAACCAGTTTACGCTGGATACATTTTCTACTATAAGGTATCTATCTCAAGGTGAGGGTTTGTGTCTTACTGAGCTCTGTATTCTATACCCCTTCAGAAGCTGTTTTCTTAATAGAGGAAAGGATGGTGGGGTGGGCGCGCGTACCTTCACTTTGATGATGTCGGGATTGTACTGCACTGCCTCTCCCCATTCCTGCATCAGGTCTGCTGTTGGCAGCTCTCGATACGCCAGGGCTGTGACATACTCACTCGCTCCTCCTCGTACAAGGACCACCAAGTCTTCCACCATGCTGTCCTTCTTGTTTCTGTCTGGAATAGATACGGAGCCCTGGCATGTCAGGGGATCCATTTTCACACCTTGAAATTTGCTGCAACCCACCTGACAACCTGGTAACTATAATGTTCAGGGAGGTCGCCCTGGAGATGTAAGTGGGACAATACTCATCCCTGCCAGCAAGGGAGTCACAGTGTAAGCGCAAACGGGCACTTGATCGTATATGACACAAGCTGGAGACAGGACAAGAAAGGGACATTTATTTTTAGCATCTGTAAGTGATGGTCGCTAAGTGAGTCTATGGAAAATAGCTGCTAGATACATACATACATACATAGGGACAGATGCTATATAGGTAAATAGACAAAGATTATTCATCATTTATGTATCATTCACTAATTTAATGTTGTACTTGTATTAACTCACCTAATCTTCAGTATGAAATAGGAAGTATATAATCCTTCCTTTCCAAATAAGAAATCTTAGGCACTAGAGGGATAGAATTTACTCACAGTACTGTGCCCAACCTTTGAACTATATCACTTCATTGTCTCATATGACAAAAGTGGGAAAATCTATAAGGTGTAAGCATGAATGTAATAGATACTCACCAAATAATGTCTACTGTTTTTTTTTTCAATGTCTACTCTTATTATTTTGACTTCTCAAGCAATTTCCCAGAAAGCCCTCAATTATATCAGTAAGTCATTCCTATTCTAATTTTTCTTGTGCCTGATGCCAAAGAAACTGGTGTGAAGTGACTATTCCACTCTGAGCTTGCAGCTCTTGAGCATCATACAAAAGGAGTCTTATATACTACTGGTCAGACTGTAAATTGATACAGCCATTTCAGAAAATTCTCAGTATTACCTAGTGTAGAATAAGTACATACTCTACAACCCAACAATTTCACTCCTGGGTACATTCCCCATAGAATCCCTTGCACATGTGTGTCAGAAGAGTGTGTAAGAATGTTCACAGCGGCTCTGAATATGATGGCTTGGCACAGGAAATAATCCAAATTTAACAACAGAATGAACAAAGTGATATATTTATACAATAAAATACTATGCAACTATAGTTTTACACAAAAACATGATATCAAAGAAAAAATAAAAAAAACCCAGAACTGGAAGATTACATTTCATCCATATAAAGTTCAAAAACAAGCAACTCTAAGTCATTGTTTTTATTTAGTTGCTAAGTCCTGTCCAACTCTTTTGCAACCCCATGGATTGTAGCCTACCAGGCTCCTCTGCCCGGGATTTCCTAGGCAAGAACTCAGGAGTGGGTTGCCATTTCCTTCTCCAGGGGATCTTCCCAACCCAGGGATTGAACTCGCATCTCCTGCGTTGGCAAGCGAATTCTTTACCACTGAGTTACCAGGGAAGCCCAAGTCTAAGTTATAGATGCTAGCAATACGTGTAGGTGGTAAAACTATCATGAAAGGAAGGACATGTTTAACAGAGACTTCAGGATGGTGTTATCTCCAAAGGGAGGGAGGAGTTGTAATTGACAAGAGTCCTGGGGTACTGGGTAATGCTCTATTCAGTAACTTGGATGGGGGGTTACTTTACAAGTTTTCTTTGAAAAGCATGTATGTTTCCCTATGTAGGATGCATGTTCCAACCCAGCCCCACAAAAATAAACAAACAGTATCCACTGCATATCAGTCACAAGAAACTCTTCTAGACCAGCAGTTCATTTTGTTGTTGTTTTATTTTATTTTGCTTTGGCTGTGGACCTCTTCATTTACATATGATCATAGAAATAGGGACAAGCTTAGTCTGTAGAGCAGATGAAGGAGAGTAACGCAGAGTGCAGAAGAGCTTGGGACTAGAGCCCTGCTGATCAGCTTCCCTCTCCTACTCTACTTTCAGTGTTGATTCCCAGCTCCCCTATGTGGCCACCAAGATCTCTGCTCCCAGATTGGCTCTAGCACTCACTCCTAGTCTCACATGTGGACTCTGCTACATGACTCGTGGCTTTGCCTGCTTTTCTAGTTTCCATCTTGCCCATTGCTTCAGGTAAGGACTAGCTGCCTCAACTATATCCCCCACTGCCTCCACCTGGCTCCTACCTCTCCAGCCTAGAGCATCCTACCTCTAGCCAGGCCCACTTCTGGCCCCCAGAGCAAATTTTCATTGTTAGATTTTTTTTTTCCCCTGCCTAAAGGCAACCTTGATACCTTATTCCTCAAGTTGCCATTCAAATGATCCCTATTCCAGGAAGCCAGACTGAGTTTGGTGCTTATCACTGCCCTGTCCTTGATTTTTTAATTCTTTGCCTACTCATGTGAGTATCATGAAGATAGGAAGACCATCTAATTCATTTCTGCATACCAATACATAGTAGGAGCTAGGTAGATTTTTATTGAATGAATTAGTATTTTAATTGAAATGCCTTGGAATATTCAATCTTTAGCTTAAAGAGTGACAGGTCTGGGTTGCTGGAGAAGGAAGGATGATAAGCAGAGAAGTCACATGCCCTTGCCACTCACCTTTTATCTCATTGAGAATGTGACTGCACTTTGCCTCTGACACACCCAGCTTCAAATAGACCACTTTTATGGCGGCGCCGATTTTAAAATCATGTTTAGCACAGGTCTGGACGTCCTTAAGAGAGTAATCTGAAGGAAGCAAGAAAAGAGGCTCATGACCTAAAATGGCAATTTGTCCTGGGCCTTTTCCTGCAGTCGATCCCTGATGCCAAACCCTTCCTGGAGGCTCACAGGGACTAAGGTGTAAATTAACGTGTGGCCAGACTAGGGACAAGAAATGCAGCAGGCAGCTCCTGGCACCAGGGCAGAGACCCCATTCGAGATCAGCATCAACTTCCCCTTTCAGCCTCTACAAATACTCAGAGGGTTTTTTGCTGCTCTCCAAAGACAGGATGAGCTCGGAGTCACTTTCTAAAAACATGGCTCCTTATCAAGTCTCTAGGCACTGATGCAGTGAATAGAGGCTGCTGTGAGCTGTCCTCCTTCTCTAATCTTTGATGTAGTCCAAACAGTTACTTGATCAGTTGAGATAATGTTTACGAAATGTCTGGTATAGTCCCTGGCAAAGAGAAGGACCAATTTCCCTTATTTTGTCTTCATTTCTGGACCATTTTCCATCCATTCCTCTCCAGTTCTCCCCAAGGCATTTTCCCATCCTGGGCTTGCCGAAGTCTTCCATATGACATATGAACACCTTTCTAGAGCACTTGAGGTCAGGGAAGGGAGAAGAGAACAGCTTTAACACCTGGGATTACTAGAAACGTGGATGTGGATCAGTTTTCCCCAAAGCATGTTCCTTGAAACATGAATCCCATGATGATATCTTTTATATATCTTTTAAGAGCAAGAATGACAAGAAACCAGGCTTCTGCAGTCAAGTCAGTGTGATAAATGTGGTATCAAAAGTGATGGAGAGGTCACTTGATTTCAGTATGCCTGTGAAACTCTCAAAGTGGGATCTATTATGTTTCCACAACTTGATCATAGAACCTTTCTGTAGAAAGCAATCAGAGGAATTACGACAAGTACTTTTGGAACCTCTGGTACAAAGGAGGATAGTACCCTTAATCTTGGCAAGACTGAGAGAGGTCACACCGACCTTAATTTACCTTATATGCCTTCTGTCCTCTTGCAAGTTCACTGGACCTATAACCGAAACCTGGCTCTGCCATTGTAACCTGGGTGGCCTGGGGCAGGTCACTTAACCTGACAAATGCCATACTGCAGGAAAGAGTACAGGATTGGGAGGAAGAAATCATACTTTAGACTCGACATTGATTACAACTAGAAAAACCCAGAATATCTGTATGGAGAATGAATTGTGGAAGGAAAATGGGAGTTGAATATTAGTTTGGAAGCTCAGATAATCTAAGACATTGCTGCTGAAAGTGTGGTTTAGGAACCAGCAGCACTGGTATCACCTCAAAGCTGATTGAATGGTGGAGTCATTCTGAGATGCGGATGACTACAGAAGAAACATGTGAAAGCTCTCCTTGGGGGCATGTTAAGTTTTTGATGACATTCAAGACATTCAAATGGAGATCTCAAAGAGGCATTTCTACATGAGCTCTTCGGTACACAGACGAGATCCAGGACAGACATATACATCTGCATGTATAAAGCATTTAGAGCCAGGAGATTAGATGTTATTGTCTAGAGGGAGTTATGTAGAAAACAGGACTGTCCATAGAGAGGGCTGGCAGAGGAGGACCACCATCAACATATCAACAAAGGATGAGGAATCTGCAAATGAAACTGTGAAAGGAAAACCAGGGAGGGAGAAGGAAAACGGGAGCATAACTTATAACCCCTCCCCCAACAAGGACTAGAAGCCTCCCTCCCTGTTAATTCATAGTTCCATGTGCCCCATCAGTAAAGACATGGTCCTCGGGTGGCGTACCTCCTCTCTCCATCGCCTCTTTGTTCATGATGAGTGTGTATTCATAAATGCCCCCAAGCACGGCCTCTGTGATGTAGTGGGTTCCAAAATCATGGAAGAGATCTCTGTACTCCCCGTAGCTGTATTCCAAGGGCAGCCGCTTGACTCGCTGAAGGAATTCGTGATGCAGCATGAGGTTTCTGGATTTCAGCTTGTAATGGGCTACTTCAAGGTCAGAGCGCGCATGCAGGAATTTGCTTTTCTAAATGAAAGACCAACAAGGGAAAAGCAGACCTTTAAAGTTAGGAATCTGGAATGAGAAGCTGAACTTTGCAAATATCATCCGCTGTTCTGGCCAGGGGTCATCACTCATGATTCCTTTAGGAGACCTGAGGGAAGATGGCCCCTTTGACAAGCCTTCATTTTCCAGAAATATTCTGATGTCCTTTTTGGCTTGGAAGAGCTTGCTCTTTGCTCATTTCCTTACAGTGGCAAATAAGAAAGAAGAAGGAAGGGAAGCAGCAGCAGACAGGGCAGGCAGCAGCAGGTGCCTGTGCACCATTCTAAGGGGAGACGGGGTGTGCTGACCGGCAAAGGCAACTTCTTGACTGATGCTTCTTTTTTTAAAGAAAAGAAGAAGTGTTAGTTGCTCAGTGGTGTCCAACTCATTGAAACCCCATGGACTGTATATAGCCCACCAGGCTCCTCTGTCCATGGAATTCTCCAGGCACAATACTGGAGTAAGAAGCTATTCCGTTTTCCAGGGGAGAAGGGAATGTTCCTGACCCAGGGATTGAACCCAAGTCTCCTGCATTGCAGGCAGATTCTTTACCATCTGAGCCACCAGGTAAGCCTCTTTTAAAGAGAAAAAATGTTTATTCAGGGAGCTATACACTGCACAGCCGAGTGTGGGCCATCTTGGAAGGCAAGAGAAGCCACAGGAAAGACACACTCCACAGACAAAGGATGGACCATCTCAGGTGAGAGGGGGCAGTTGATGCTTTTTAAACTCTGAAGAAAAGGTACTCAAGAAAGAGTAAAAGCAATGTTTTAGGAAGGCTGGACGCTGCAGTGCATGCCAAGGGTCAGCAGACCACAGCCTGCACACAGGACCTGGTATTTGGATCTGCAATCCAATTTCACTGCAATGCAGTCATGCCCACATATCTGTTCCCTGTTCATCACTGCTGTCACCCTATGATGGCAGAGCTCTGTGGTTGCTACAGAGACCCTTCAGCCTTGCGAAGCCTGAAATATTTACTCTTTGGCCCTTTACAGAACAAGTTTGGTGACCCCTGGTGTGTGGAAGAGACTGAAAGATGGAGATGCTAGCTGAAGGGCAAACATCCAGGGATGTTAATGTAACCCGCGGTGAGGCGTTCGTACACTGCGGTGAAGGCTGGGGAAAAGGTGAATAATTAGGAAATGCACATTCCTCCTGCATCTTAAAACTCTCAGCCAGCTTGACCTGTCAGCTCTCTAAGTCATGCCACCTCTGCTCCCTGCCCAGCTCCCCCATCCTAGTCCTGCCACAGCCATCCATGACTCCTTCTTCCTCATCTTTCCAACTTTGCAGTCGCTAGATGCCCTGTTCATGGTCTTTCTACATATTTTAGTTTTCCTCTTCTGCTTGGGTTATGACAAAAGCTTTCCAACTGATCTCCTTTCTCCCTTTAGCTGCCCTCAGCGCTCCAATCAGAGTTGATGTCCTAAAAACTGTTAATACCATTAAATCCCACTCTGGGTTTAAAACAAAACCCAGCATTGGCCTCTACATTGCCCAAGAATAAAATCATTACTCCATTACTCTGAAAGTAAGAATGTCACGCTCTGTCCCCCAATAGCCTCCTGGCTTCAACTTGTACAACCATGACATCCACCCTCCACCATACTGTACTTTTCTCTACCACCTACATCATACCTCAATATCCATCTAACATCTTACTCTTCCCCACATCTGTCATTCTCTCGTAATATAATTTTGCACATGTTCCTTCTGCCAGACATGCTCTTCCCTCCCTTTTCTGCCTGGCACACACCTTCTCATGTTTAAAATTTCTGCTTAGCTGTGCTTTCTATGTGATGGCACTCTTGAATTTCCCTGACACTCCACCTCCCAGGACTGCACTGCATGTTGCTTATATTTCCTTTATAGAATAAACCATGCTGTATTGGGCTTTCCCAGTGGCTCAACAGTAAAGAATCCACCCGCAACACAGGAGCCACAGGAAACATGGTTTCAAACCCTGAGTTGGGAAGATCCCCTGAAGGAGGGCATGGCAACCCACTCCTGTATTCTTGCCTGGAGAATATCATGGACAGAGGAGCCTGGTGGGCAAAGAGTCAGACACAACTGAAATGACTTAGCACACACACATGCATGCTGTATTACAACTGATGTCAAAATCAGGACTGTTACCTGCATACATGTTTGCTGTTCCTACTAGACTGTGAACTTGAAGGCAAGAATTGTGTTATACTTGTCTCTAGGTTCCAGGTATCTAGTTTAGTACCTAGCATGAGGTAACATTATGTAACTGGCTGTTTAAATTGGGGAGCTGGGAGGGAAGGGGAGAGAGATGGAAAGAGAAAAGGAGACAAGGATGGTACCCCTCTCTTTCCCTCCAAACAAGACAAGTTCCTTTTTAATCAGTCCTGTCCTTTACCACTATATTTTAGTCTTGAGCACTTACCAAGTGCCATCCTGAACCTAAAGATGAAAGAAACAGCCTCTGTGCCTGAGGAGCTCACAGCTGAGAAGATGAAGAAAAGCAAGCAGAGACGATTGCAGTCTAATTCATGCTTATGCCTCATTTTCTACTGGTTGGTAATTTGGCAGCAGAACTTAAGCCCCTCACCATTCCTTTTTTCTCACATAAATCACTGTAGACTTTTAATTTCCTCCATGTTCCTCTCAGATTAGTTTTCTACTACATCATGCCCATGCAGCAAACTCTCAGTGACCAGGGAATAAATACACCTGGTCCTTTCTGAAATCCAAGGTTTTCCAAGCCCTCCTGTCACCTTACTTCCCATTCCAACTGCTCCCCTTCCACTAAGTAACGTGCTTTGGGCAATAGGGAACAGATGATACGATCAGGTTAGTATCAGAAAAGCATTTTTCTGGCAGCACATACATTTGAAGGGGAAAACTGAAAGACAGGAGTCTTATTAGGAGGGCTGAAACCAGAGGTGAAAGGGCCTAGGCTAGCAAAGATGTAATCAGAGTTTGATTAAAAAATATTGGATAGCCATATCTCAGTCAGTAAAGAATCCACCTGCAAGGCAGAAGACCTGGGTTTGATTCCTGGGTCCGAATGATCCCCTGGAGAAGGAAATGGTAACGTACCCCAGTATTCTTGCCAGGAAAATTCTATGGACAGAGGAGCCTGGTGGGCTACAGTCCATGGGGTTACAAGAGTGTCTGACATGACTTAGCGACTGAACCATCACCACCGAGACATGAAAACAACTTAATGTCCATCAACAGATAAAAGGACAGAGAAGATGGGGTACATACATACAATGGAATGCTACTCAGCCATAAAGAGAACAAAATAATGCCATTTGCAACAACATGGATGAACCTAGACACTATCATACCAAGTGAAGTAAGTCAGACAGAGAAAGGCAAATAACCATATAATACCACTTATATGTGAAATTGAATATATATATGTATATATATATCCCTGAACCACTTTTTTATAGAGCAGAAATTAATACAACATTGTAAATCAACTAGACTTCAATAAAAAAAAATAAAAAAGAAATATTAATGAGTGAAAGATCTGGTGGCTAACACAGATGGGCTTCCCAGGTGGCGCTAGTGGTAAAGAACCTGCCAGTCAATGCAGGAGACATAGAGACATGGATTCAATTCCTGGATCGGAAAGATCCCCTGGAGGAGGTCATGGCAACCCACTCCAGTATTCTTGCCTGGAGAATCCCACAGACAGAGGAGCCTGGCAGGCTACGGTCCATAGGGTTGCAAAGAGTCAGATACCACCAAAGTGACTTAGCATAAACCACAAGCCATATGTGGGAATAAAGAGAAAAGAAAACCAAATACGACTCAGATATTCTTAGCCTGGAAAAGCAGAAGGAAAAGAATGCTATTTAACACAGAGAGCTTGGGAGGAGGAACTTGCTTTGGAGTGTCCACAAGGCATCTGGATAATGATACCCAGAAGAGTGGGTGGAGCAGGTCTGAGCTTCCCAGAAAGGGCAGAAGTGGTGGTGGAGGCTCATGCTTGCCCTGATAGAGGAGCAGGGTGAGTAGAAAAGGACACTTGCGGTGGGTGCCTATAGAGGAAGAAGAAAGGATGACCAAAAATTAAATAGAGAACAAGTGGGGCTGTTAGAAACCAGGAAGAAAACTAACTGATAAGGAGCAGAAAGCAACCAAGAGAAACAGGAATGTGACTCCATCAACAGCTCCAAGAAGTTAGAGATGAGGTCTTGGATAACATTCTGGAGGGGAATTTCAGCTGAAGGTTTAGAACAGAAGTCAAGTTGCTGGGAGTTGAAAAGTCTTCAGAAATAATTTAGTTTTGGCAAAACTATGCTCCTTAGTTTAATAAAAACCAAGTGAAAAGCTTATTAGTAAATAAGAATACAAAAAGAAATAAGAAAGTGAGAGTACAGAGAGAACTGTATTCGATATCCTATGATAAACCACAATGGAAAAGAAGGTTTGATTCCTTCTTATATATATATATATATATATATATATATATATATACACATATATATGTATAACTGAATCACTTTGCTGCAACAGAAATTAGCACATTGTGAATCAACTATACTTCAATAAAAATATTAAAACTGAAAAAATAACACAATACTGTAAATCAACTATACTCCAATAAAATTAAAACAATTTAAAAATAAAAACAACGCCATACTAAAAAAGTAGAGTAAATAATTATAGAAGGCCACCACTGGCTGGTCTTTCTGAAAAGTAAAGTTAATGTAAGACCAAGGTATTTTTTGTGAAAAGCTTTTCAATGTAACAAATATAATTGGTTGTCAGGACTAATAGCAATACAGTATACAGACATCCGTGGACATGAAAATTCAAAAGAATACATAGGAGTGGAAAAGCAAGCAAAGGGTACCTACCGTGTGAGAGAATCGTTTGATCCTACTAATAAAATGTTGGCCAATATTACTTGTGCTGCTATAGCCAAGTTCAAATATTCCAGTAAGTTTCAAACCCAAGTTGAAACTAGACATGCTAATTGACGTCCCTGTGACGTTACGTTCGAAATCTGAGTACGATTCATATTCTGTCAGCGTAAATTCATATTTGCCTTGGGTCTGAAGGAAGAAGAAAACAAATGTTCCATATGTCATTTGACTCACATCAGTTCAATTCAAATCAACAGACACACACTGTACTCTGACTATGTTGCAGGTACTAGACTAAGTACACTGGATGCAAAAATCTCAGAGGCACACATGTCTCCACCCCCCAGGGCTCTTGATCCAGCAGGAGAAACAGATGTGCCCAGCATGGTGGGCTGACACTCAGAGGTGGGTGCTTGATTTGGGTTTCAATGGGCAGAAATGTAGGAGAACACTCTAGGCTGTGGACTTGGGTTCAGGCAGCAACGTGAGAGGGCAGGGTGGGGCCAGAAACTGCAGGGGTTGAAAATGTGTGTGGCTGTATCAGAAGATTAAGAGTGAGGAGAAGACAGAGGGTCCGTGAGAGAGGGGGCTGGCGTCCAGATATTGGGGCTTTGGGATGACTTGCTGAAATGTGGACTTAGTCCAAAGATGAGAGGAAGAAAGCCAACAGAGGAAATTGGCCGAGCACCGGGAAATCCATGACAGAACAGAAGAGCGCTTGGGTTGGAAGGGATGGATCTGAGGTCAGAGAGACAAAGCGGTGCAGAGGAGGGGCTCAGTGACTGCTCACGAGGGGCTGGTGAAAGGTCTTGGGATGGGGGATGGGGGTGGGAAGACGCAGGGACAGAACAGCAGAAAGCCTTTGCGAACTTAGACGAGCTGTTTGCTGGAAAATGGGTGCTCATGGTGCTGTGCAGAGGGAAATATCTAGGGCGCTGCCTCGGTGGCCCCCAAGTAACCAGCCTCAAATTGTCTTCACCCCATCCCACTGGCTTCTGGATGCTAGCAGTCCCCCATAACACTTCAGTTTCTGAGGAAGAAAAGCAGATGTGATTCCGAACACGGCCTGGAGTGAGAGACCTGAGGTGGGATGCACCGTTTTCTCACTGTATAACCCTGGACATTGGGCTTAACCCCTCTGTGCCTCAGTTTCTTCCTGTATAAAATGGAGACAGTACCAGTTCCTGCCAGTGGGGCTTGTTCTGAGGGTTGAGTTTATGTGGGTAAAACACTGTACAATGCCTGCCATAGTGCTCCAAAAACAGCTACAGGGAGAGGAGACTCCGAGATACATATCCTGCCTGGGTTACCAGTAGGAGGAGAAACGTCTGCTCTGAGATTCTCCTTTGAAAGTGGAGGCCATGTATGGCAAAACCACTACAATATTGTAAAGTAATTAGCCTCCAATTAAAATAAATAAATTTATATTAAAAAAATAAAGATACCAAAAAAAAAAAAAAAAGTGGAGGCCAGAGGGATGGTGCTGGTCAACACGGGGGAGGGTGTATTTGTCCCGAGACTCATTTTGTAATTTTTAGCCAATAACTGTGTGGGGGTGTGGAGGAGACCAGGAAGGAAGAGAAAGAGAGGTAGCAGCTTAACATTCAGGACTATACCATTTTATTTTTATCTTATTTTTAAATTTTTATTTATATATTTATGTATTTATTTGGCTGCACCAGGTCTTAGTTGCAGCTTATGGGGTCTAGTTCCCTGACCAGGGATTGAACCCAGGCCTCCTACATTGGACATGCAGAGTCTTGGGCATTGGACCACTAGGGAAATCCTAGGACTGCACAATTTTAGACATGAAAACAACCAACCTGGCTGTCCAATCGAGTCCTCTCATTTTACAGATGAGGAAACAGGTCCAGAACAGAGCAAGAATTTAGCCTAAAGTACAATGGGGTCCGGGGTACAGCCAGGCCTGGCACCCAGATCTTCCCCATCTGTCTTACGTGTGCATTATGCAGTGACATAGTCTACTCTGAACCCCACTCCCTGTGAGACTGCTTTTAAGTCTTTGTGTTAATAACACAGGCTTATCTTGGTAGAACATTTTTTTGGGTGTGGTGGTGGTACTTTTTTTTCTTTTTCATTTACTTTTATTAGTTGGAGGCTAATTACTTTACAATATTGTAGTGGTTTTTGCCATCAAGAAAAAAGTCAAATAAATAACTTAACTCTGCACCTAAAGCAACTAGAGAAGGAAGAAATGAAGAACCCCAGGGTTAGTAGAAGAAAAAAAAAACTTAAAAATTTAGGGTAGAAATAAATGCAAAAGAAACAAAAGAGACCATCGCAAAAATCAGCAAAGATAAAAGCTGGTCTTTTGAAAAGGTAAATAAAATTGACAAACCGTAAGCCAAGAAACAAAGGGAGAAGAACCAAATCAACAAAATTAGAAATGAAAATGGAGAGATCACAACAGGTAGAATATTTTATAACTTACAGAAATGCTTAGAACAATGCCTGGTTCTAATAGGCAAGGACTTGATAATAACAGAAGTTGACTCCTGTTGTCTAGCTGTCTCTGGATGCTAGAATTCTTGCATGTCTGTCATGATGTCTCTAGCATCACCAGGCATCTGGGATATCTATATCTTTGCCACTCAACTGACTACATTCATTCAAATCACTGACTGACCAGTGATTCCAGTCACAAGGTTAAGTTGCTTGGGTCACTTCCTACCCCACTGATACAATTCTTCGGGGCTTCCGTGGTGGTTCAGACGGTAAAGGATCCACCTGCAATGCAGGAGACCCAGGTTCGATCCCTGGGTCAGAAGTTCCCCTGAAGAAGGGCGTGGCAACCCACTCCAGTATTCTTGCCTGGAGAATTCCATGGACAGAGGAGCCTGGCAGGGCACAACTGAGCGACTAACACACACGCGCATGCACACACACACAGACACACACGTCTGCATGAACTCTGGAAGTCTAGCTAGCAATTCCCAGCTGTAATACCAATGTTTATATATGAAGGTCTATGAAATCTTTCAAAGGTAAAATAAAGGACCTACAGTGTCTATATTTACTTTTGATCCAAATGTGAAACTGAAGCTACAAGTTATAAATAAGAAAGCAAAAATAGTTTTTTTTCATTAAAAAAAAAAGAGTTAACACTTCCTGAGACTCACAGTTAAACCAGGTATTGTGTGTGTGCCAAGCATTTACACTCACTTAACCCCTCTGTGCAGGTAGAACCTTTAAAATCCCAGTTTAAAGATAGGAAAATGGAGGCTCAGAGTATATAACATGATATAGACGGTAAGTTGCAAAGACATCTATGAGATTCTAAATCCTAAGCTGTGCTTGTCTCTTTATGGCATTTTTGCTATTGTCATTGGTATAATTATGCTACTACATATCTGCACTGCCTCTACTATACATAGCAGATTGGCATCACCACTGTGTTTGGAGGAAGCAACCACCCATCTTACATATGAAGAACTGAAGCTCAGAGAGAAAATGCGATGCATCTGAGCTGGCCCAGCAGGGGGCTGCTGACCAGTCTGGACCCATGCTTCTGGCTCCTCTGCCAGGGTCCCTGCCACGGCCCTGAGGTGGCTTCCTGACTGGCACATACCTGTGGAGTGAAGTTTTCCACGTTGTATGGCTTCCGAAACCTCGTGTTGAGTATGTAATGGGGGGAGCACACACCGGCGTAATACCTGTGATCTAGAACCGGGCCCTCCAAGTTGTTTGTGAACAAATTAATCCTGCCGGGAAGAGGTGGAAAAGGGGGTGAGGTGAGGATATAATCCCAACTGGTGAACCTACTCAAGGACACCCAAATTCCTGGGCACAGCACACGTGGCCGTCAATATCTGTTGAGGCTTTATCCCCTGCCACTCCCAGCCACAACCACAAAGCCAGTCCCCCACTATCTGGAGGGGTTCTCCCTCCAGTCCATTTTGCTCCTTCTCTTCTTGGCAAGGGCTGTTCACTCTGCCTAAATATCCTTCCAGCCACTCATCACTTGCTTAAGTTGCTCAGTTGTGTCTGACTCTTTGTGACCCCATGGACTGTAGACCACCAGCCTCCTCTGACCATGGGATTTATTGGGCAAGAATACTGGAGTGGGTTGCCATGCCCTCCTCCAGGAGATCTTCCTGACCCAGGGATCGAACCTGAGTCTCCCTGCATTGGTAGGAGGATTCTTTACCGCTGAGCCACCAGGGAAACCTTACTTTCTGCTTTATCTCTTACTTATCTTTCTAGACTAAGTTCTTTTGTTGCCTGTGGTGGGAAGCCTTTGCTGACACTTGTACTAAGCTGCATTAGAGGCCCTTATTAGATCCCATGCTCACCCCATTAGTGCATTTATTGTTCTGCACCTACTGTAGTTACCTTACAAGAATGGTCTACGTGGGAGCTGAGAACACAGACTCTAGAACCAATGCACTGGCATTCACAAGTTATGTAACCTCAGGCATACCAGTTAGCCTCTGTACCTAGGCCTCCCTATCTATGAAATGAGAACAAAGAAAATCCTATCTCTTGGAGTGCCTGTGAGGATTACATGTATCCATATTTACTAAGTGCTTAGAACATGGCTTGGTCTGCGATAAAGGCTTATTATTATTATTTACGTGTCTGTCAGCTCCCCAAGGTTCTGTGCTCCTTAGAGATGGTGGTTTTCCTTTTAATTTCTGTATGCCTCCCATCACAAGACACTAAATTAATTCCAATTTACTGAGTTTCTAACTGGAAACAGGCACAGTCACGGATGGCTCAGGACATCACCTTATGTAGTGTGCCCAAAGCCCTGGGTAGTAGATGTCATTATGTCCATTTAGAAAGGATGAAAATCTCATCTCTACCTCAACGTTGTTATTTCTCACCACCTCCTAAGGCAAGCCTCCATTTCCGACCTGCTTTGACTATGACTGACAGCTCCGTTTCTTTTGTTAAAAGGAGATCTGTCTCCTTTCAGTTTCTGCCTATTGGTCTGCTCTGCTCCTACCAGAATCATTTCAGGCTGTCTTTCCTCTGATAGGGTTTCATGTAGCATAATAATGCATATTCATTTATTTTCTTTAATACCATAATAATCAATTACACATGTTGGTTCAATGAATCCTTAGGCATTATTACTATACCCACTTAACAGATGAAGAAAGTAGACATAGAGAGGGTGGGGCCAGGACTCAACGTCTGAGCATCCCAGTCTAGTCAAGAGCAGAGTCTGCTTTCTTCCCACCACATATTGTGCCTCTCACGTGTTAGCTTATTACCATGGCATTAGCTTATTTATCCCTCACAGACCTGAAAAGAAGGGCATGACTGACTTCTGTCTACAAATGACGAAACTAAAGCCCCAGAGCCGTGCTTCTGCCCCTCTTGCAGGGTCCAGTTGGCTTCTGCTGCTGGCTCTGTATGTCCACTCTGTCACCCCCTTTGACCTGTGACCCCCCAGGAGCTCTGACTTCCCAGACCTCAGCTTCCTCGTCAAGGAGATGGGGCTTAGCATCACTAGTGTCTAGGGTGGTCCTGGGAGGAGGTCCTCCCCACATGAGGAGCCTGTGTCTCTAACAGCGTCCTTTCAGGATGGAGACCTGATGTTTGCTTAGGAAGAAGGAGAATGCTGTCCAGGGCCTCTCTGCTCCCCACGCTGTGTCGCGTACGTGATTTGTGAGGGGAGGCCCTGACTTCCCCCTGGAGGCTGACAGGCTGCACTGCGCGGCAGGAAAGGAGGCAGAGAGCCGGGCCAGTCAGCCCCTTGTGATCCCTCACCGCCCCAGAGGACTTAACCAGACTAGCCGCACGCACACTGCCCGCAGAGCCAGGCTGGAAATGCACCCCTGCCCTGGCCAGTCACGTAGTGGCCTCTGCTCTGGGCCAGCCTCTCTGCTGAGGCCTCGGGATAGAGAAGCAGATAAACCTCCCTGGCAGTTGTCAACAGCTTTCAGAGGTAATGCTTAGAAAGTGCCTGACACGGTCACAGAGCAGGCATCAAATACCCCTTCCCCAGCCCCCGTGTGGAGCCTCCACGGCCCCCTCCACGGCTCTCTCCGCAGTGCCCCCTCCCTGCAGTCACATCTGGTCCATCTGCCGTGGCACTTGCTCCCAGAGCCCCCGGGTCTGTCGTCAGGAAGCAGCTGCGAGCATCCACTAACACATCAGCCTTTTTCAGAAAGACACAGAGGAGCCGCTCTGTCTACCGTTCCCTCCCTCTCTCTTCTCCAGATCACATTTACTTGTATCTTCTTCCCGCTCCACAACAGAAAGAAGGTAACTTACCCACTGGCCAGGCTGCCAATGGCCCAGTATGGCTCCATTTCCTGCTGACATTTTTTATAAATCTTTCTACAGTTCGCCTCATCTGACTGGTCTCCACAGTCATTGTCCCCGTTGCAAAGAAGTCTTCGGTTTATGCACCTCCCTGGGAAGGAGAAATGGGGTTACCCACAGGTCGAGGCCAGGAAGGGGGGTTCACATGGCTTGAGACCCACCATGACCCAGATTCTTGGCTGCTCTGTTTGCATTGGTGCTCATGTATCGGGGGTGAGTGGGTCAATGGAATTCACCGTTTATTCCCTGCCAGAAGCCAGTGTTGTGTTTCTGAATGCTCTTGAGGGCAGATTTGCTAGGCAGACAGGAAGGAAGGCTGGACTCCTCTGCTTGGGACTGGAGAGAGGAGGTCAGTTTGGAGAGTCCTGCAATAGTACCAGTTGTGGCACCTTCCATGTGTTACCCGACTCCCTGTCTCAATATCCTCATCTGTAAAGAAGAGACACCATCATATCTACCCCCAAAGGTCGCTGGGGATTCAAACAAACAAATGAAACAGTGCTGACTCATGGTAAGAGCTGGATATGTGTTGTTATTACTATTATTAGTGCTTCGATGGTCCAAATGCACACTGCTGGTAAATACTGGCAGGAGGATTGGAACCCATAGCTTTCTTATCACAAACTCGCCCCCATTAAACGGCACTGCCTTCAACATCAGAGCCACTCAGACTAGTAGATATTAAAAATATTTAGACTGTACATTTAAAGTTATTTGAGGCACCTCCACTTCCTTGAAACTCTTTTCCCCATTGACTTGACTTCCTTTCTTATTTGCATATCTTTTGGGAGTAAAGCCCATAAAACAGGTGGCCATTTTCACTTAAGCATGTTTAAACCAATGTTCTTTGGGTATTAAAGGCAGAAGAGTAACAATCTGGTCTTCAAATGTTTGTTACAAGGCATTTAAACTAAAGCTGGCCTGAATAACCATTATTGGCTTTGGTCAGAATCATGGAACACCAGTCATAATGAGTCCATGAACACATGTAAACATCTTTCAGATTTACTGTATGGAGCTCTGCGTTCGCAATACTGCCTAGAAATTGCTCTAAGAATCCCTAGTTCTTTCTGAAAAGATACTAAAGCACAGTTCACAAAGTTGTGGCAAATGTAGAGAGTTGCAACTTGCACCTAGGTAATCTGAGTCAAAATACTCTCATTTTTGCTGGAGTCTTCGAGAAAAAGAGTCAGGTTTCCCTGAATTAGTTAAAGGAATTAATTGAAAAAAAAAAAAGTGAAGTCACTCAGTCATGTCCAACTCTTTGCAACCCCATGGACTGTAGCCTACCAGGCTCCTCCATCCATGGGATTTTCCAAGCAAGAGTACTGGAGTGGGTTGCCATTTCCTTCTCCAGGGGGTCTTCCTGACCCAGGGATCGAACCTGGGTCTCCCATGTTGTAGGCAGACGCTTTACCGTCTGAGCCACCAGAGAATGTAATTTGAATTTCCAAATTCCTAATTGTATCTCCTCCACTTACCTCCTAAGTGATTGTGGGTGAGTAACTTCTCCAAGTCTCAATTTCTCAATTAGTAAAATGGGGGTAATATTAACACCTACATGGTAGGGTTTTTTTTTATGAAATAATATGTGTAAAAAGAGGTCAAGGAGGACAAGGAGGCCTCCTGGCCTGACACATGACTTTGATATTGAGCACTAGACAATAGCCAGTGCTCCCATCATCACATGCCATCACCTCACTTGATACCCATCCCCTCCCACTCCTGTGTCCCTTTATACCTGTCTGCGCACACACAAAGCCTTCACATCGCACTTGACTTCTGCATGGTCTGTTGGAAACACAGTCTTCAACTTCCTTGTCGGAGAAGTTGCATGGTTCCCCATAGAACTGAGAGGGCCGGATCAAGTAGGCATGTCTGTACTATAGCAGAGAGGAGCAAGGTGAGACAAAGCCAGAGCCTCGGGGACATGGGGAGCGGAGGGTACACTTGAGGATCTATATTGCTACTGGCTGTTTGCCTATTTCAAATAGCCTGGGAACTCTCTGAGGGCAGGGACCTTATCTTCAATCTCTGGACCACAGTGATCAATACAGCTTTGTTGAATGTGGGGAAAGCATGGACTTCCGAGTCAAAGGCAGTAAGTGAATTGATGGAGCGAGTTCAGTCTTTCAGCTTGATTAATCCAATGGGTTGATTCAAGTATTATCATTTATTAAGTAGCTTAAAATGCAGAAGTATCCACTTTGGAGCCACTGACTCTGTTACTTTCTAGTTATGTGATACTGGGTAAGTTACTTAAGCACTGTGATCTCAACTTACTAATCTGTAAAATAGGGATAATTATGTACAGCTATGTAGTTTCAATTATATATGAAATTTCATTATGTTGTCTGGTACAGAATAGGCATTCAATTTCTTCTGCTCACTTTTCTTTTGAATTATTAATAATTTTAGCAGTAAATATTTCTCTGTCTCTACTTTCCTGTTTGCCTAATCCAGAAATATTGACTGGATTTCCAAAATATTGATTCAGCCACACAATGCTGAAAAAACGTAGGTGCTTTTTATGCTTGTTTGTACTTGATCATAGTTATGGCCTCTGGACTGTCCTCAAGGAGGTCACAGCTGGTGGTGGTGGTCATGATGATAAACACAAGGCATGACTACACATTGAAAGGGGTGCCATGACAGGGACAGAACAGAGTGCTCCGTAAACACAGAGGGGAATCCTCAGTGCAGACTTAGGAGATGGTGAAGCGACATCTAAGCTGGGCCCCAAAGGGTGAGCAGACACGTCAGGCAAACATGGAATGCTGGCATGAGGAGGGGAGAGAAAGGCAATCCGGATGGAGAGAATTGCTGTGCCAAACCTGAGAGTATGTGCCTTATTCCAGAAAACAAGAAATCCATCATGGCTGGAGAGAAGAGTTAAAGAGGGAGAGTGATAAGAGATGGAGGGACATGGAGCCAGGAGCAACTAAGGCAGACCCTTCTGGGCCTTAACAGGTTGGATTTAGTACTTCTTCACCGTAAAATGAGAAACCACTGCAGGGGAAGGAAATGATCAGATTTGGGTGACTTCCCAATGCTAGCTGCAGTCAAGATTTTGGTGCTACCAAAGGAGGCAGACCTGACAGCAGTCCCTCTGAAGACTGACGCATTAACCAGCCACAGTTATTATGCGCATCGTATCTGGAAATCTAGAAAAGAAATATAGACAACCATCCACCTCTGCTCCTTTACATTTCTAGGGCGTCTTTCTTCCTAGAAGGCAGAAGCTGGCAGGACAGGGATAAAGTCTGCAAAGAAGATACTAGAAGACTAGCACCAGGCACCAGAGACAAAATGGGTTTGAGGGCTGTGGAGATGATAAAGGAAAGACATCTCTCAATCCCTGTTGAAAGAAATGATGATGAACTCCCAGCCGCTGACCCTGCAGACATGATGTCCAACTGAGGGAACATGCATAGCAAAGTCTGAGTGTAGAGCTCTGACTGGATGAGTGGATGGATGAATGGCTCACACTGGGTCTTCCTGGTTTATGGTGCAGACGAAGCAATTATCCAAATAACTGGATCAATGTTAATCATGTCAGCAATAAAGCCTGCTTTGGGAACTGAATGCATCTGCTTGGCTCTCAACATTGATCCAATTAAGTGTGTAATTGTCCCGGGCCTATTCCACAGCCTCTTTAGGGTCTTAGCTCATGGCTGCTTTGGTTTCCCAAGGAGCTGGGGGAAGTGAGAACCATTCTCTATTCTTTGACAAAGGTGCTGTTCTTAGACCTGGATCCTGCATCATCCCTCCTGTGACAAGAAAGCTCGAAGAACAAATACCGCAGAGACTGTGTGTTTTGACTGGTTGAACTGGCTAGACAAGAAGCCAATGGCCCAAGCTCAAGATCTGTCTTTACTACTAAGTGAACCCAAGAATTCACTTACCTGCTCTGGGTCTCTGTTGATCTATCTGCCTAACAGAAAGGGTAACAATTATTCTCCCTCATAGAGATTTCAGAAAATGTAACGAGATCAAACACATATTTATGGAGCACCTCAAACATGTTAAACATTGACCTATACACCAAAGACACAGAACTGAAAAAGTTTTTAAGCGCTTGCAGTTTAATAGAAAGGCAAATATTAAAAGAAAAGTAAATGATGAGTGCTAGGACACAGCAGGAATAAGGAGCTGTTGCAGTTCATAAAGGAGTGTCTGGCTAAGGGCAAGGGGTGCTGAGAACTCAAGGAAGCCTTCTCAAAAGAGGCATTCCCAAAGCAAAGTTTCAAATCATGAGTAGATGTTAGTCAGTGAAGGAAGTGGGAAGGACATTTCAGCCTGAGAACAGAGTGTGAAATGGTCAGAAAAATACATGCTCTATGTGCTGGCGTGGGGGATGTTCTGTGAAGATGTGATCCAGGTCTATCTAAGGTGTGGGGGGCCTTGAAGACCCTGAGTCTGGATTTGATCCTAAAGGCCATACATAGACTTTGGATGTTCAAGCTGGGGAAAGACCAGCCAGACTTTCATTTTCAATGGCTCCTCTGGGTGCCCCATGAAAGATGGATTGAAAGAATAAGGCTGGAGACAGGAAGTCTAATTAGGAAGCTGCTAATGGGAGAAAGGACAGATATGCTTCAAAACAAACCTGAAGGATCAAAGGCAGGATCTGACTGCTCCTTGGAAGCTCAGAGGAATAAAATTAATTCATTAAATCAGCCAACATTTATCAAACTCCTACTATGATCCAGCTACTGTCAGTAGTGCATTGACTGATCTTGCTGAGGGGTAGGGCTCCTGGAAGCTTAGAGGTCTCCCAAGATCTGGGTACCTACCCTTTTCTTCTGACAGGGATCACACGTGGTCCAGGAGGACCAGCTGGACAGCTCACAATCAATAGGCAATGGCGTGACATCCACACTCCGCGTCTGTCTAGTCTTGGCAAGGCTCTCATTGATTGCGTTTGACCCAAGAGAGGGTGGCCTTTCGCCTCTAAAGGTCATCACAGAGAAGAGAGTCAAGTATCAGAAGGTAATTAAGTCTACATTCCACTGCCTATCCATCCATTCAATAAATATATATTTGCTCATTTATTTATGCAAGGCTGGCTTCCCTGGTGGCTCAGATGGTAAAGAATCTGCCTGCAATGTGGGAGACCTGGGTTCAATCCCTGGGTTGGGAAGGTCCCCTGGAGGAGGGCATGGCAACCCACTCCAATATTCTTGCCTGGAGAACTCCATGGACAGAGGAGCCTGGCACGCTACATACAGTCCATGAGGTGGCAAAGAGTCATACACGACTGAGCGACTAAGCACAGAACATTAGTTTATCAGTCAAGTATCAGTTAACTCATTCAGCAATATTTATGGAACCCTCAGTTATTGCTTCAGGTTACAGCTAGCTACAGTCAAAAGAGGACTGAGCTCTAATCAGAAGATCATCCATCAACAGCTGGGTGATCTTGGTCTGGTTTTTCGGCCCCTGGGCACTTCACTTTTCTCACCTATATAATGTGAGAACATACCTCATAAGGCTATTTGAAGGATTAAATGAGAAAATATATGTGAAAGTACGTTATATGCAGGGCTTACAACTGCAGCTAGATGGATGACCTCAAGCAGTACCCTCCCCATCTCGGAGCCTCTGTTTTATCCCCTGGAAAATGAGACATTTGGACTAGGTGGTCTTTAAGTCACCCTTTCATGTTGTGAGTCTATGAAACTTTTTCTGAGAACAAATCATATTCAGGATACTGTGCGCAAGAGGACACAGAAATATAACACACAGCTTCTGCTCTGGAACTCACAGATTGTCTCAGGATAAGAGAAGACAAACATGACTCCTTCCTTAGCTCTTCCGGACTTTACCAAGGAGGCAGGGTTTTTAAGCATGCAGAATGGATGGTCTGAGTTGAGCTTTAGGACATCACTGTGGCTGCAGTGTGGAGGTTAGATGGAGGTGGGGAAAGCCCAGAGGCAGGAAAAGCAGGTAGGAGGCTCAAGCAATGGTACCAATGAGTGATGTGAGCCTGAACCACTCCAGATCCAGGGGACAGAGAGTGGGGGAGACAGACACATGAGATGTTTTTCAGGGGGAATGGACAGAGTGATGGGTAACAGGATGGGGTGTGGATGAGAGAGAGAAAGGGGCTTAGGATGATGCTGGTTTCTAGTTTGGGTGTGTGGTTAGGTGGGTGGGGAAACCAGGAGCAAAGGAATTTGTTGAGGAAGATGGAGTTGGGGCATGCTGAGTTCCAGGTGCCTGTGGAGTCACTCAATAAATAGTTCCTACATAGATCTGGAACTCAGACAGATTTGTACTAGAGATACAGATCTGATCACGAAAAGCCATGGGAGAGGATAGAAATATTCCTGAGAGACACCAGCCAAGAATAAGCCCCGGAGAGACTAGTGTCTGGCAGGCTAGAGTGAAGATGGTATATAGAGGTGAGTGGGGGATGGGAGAGGTAGGAGGTGCTACACCTGCAGAACAGTCAAACAACAGGAAACCTGAAATCTGTCTAGAAAATAAGGTAACACTTTTTGTTGAGTCCCTGGCACTCATGGGACATTGAGTAAAAGAGGCAAAGAAAGGGCATGTTCTTTCATCTGTTTGTGCTCCCAGTTTCCCCACGTGTAATACGATGGGTATATTATAATATTTATTTTTCTTCCATCTGAAAAAATGTATAGCAGTGTAAAATTCTTTGTAATTTGTGTTTCTTTTCAAGGCAAAAACAGAGAAAAGAAAAAGAATTAAGATTTGTTGAGCATCCAGGACTTGTCAGGTCCTGCATGAGATGTTTCACCCTTGCCATCTCATCTAATCCTGACAGCAATGCTAGAAGGCAGCAACCTCCTAGACAGATGGGGGAAATGGTCAAGAGCCACACGGTGGTCATGCCGGGGTCCAAGCTGAGCTCTGCTCGCCTCTAGTCTCTGTGCTGCGTTCATTTCCCTCTGCTACCCAGAAAGAACCAGGTCAGCATTCCCTCTACCAGTACCCCCGTCTCCAGGCAAGGCCTCTCTCCTCTCCTTGTCCAAGACTCAGTCCTTAGGCAGAGCACCACATAATCTCCACTAGCACATCACTGCAGACAAGGTCATTAACAATACATTCTCACTTGGCAAAAGTCCTAAAAAGAGGATAATATTAACTACAGTGAAATCCATCTCCATGACCACCCCAGAGGCCAGCAAAAATCAATTGCCTCGTAAAGTTGAATCTTTAATGAAAGGTCAAAGACTACTGGAAACCATAGGTGGGTTCTTTAAAATGGTTACTTGAGGCGGGATGCTGCATAGCAGTGGCGAGGGTGGGGGTGGGGCTTTAGAATGTGCTCGTATCTCCCAATTTGCCCAGGTTTGACTAAACAATATTGTCTGGGATTTGGCTTCGCCTTAAGTATGTATTTGACTGCGCTGCAGGGTATCCTCTTCCTGTTTCCACTAAGAAACCACTACACTGTGTTTTCAGCCACTATCCACCCAATTCAGGCCAAGGTGGAGACTGAGTAGATAAGTAATGTGCACACATGCTATTAAGAGTCAGAATTACTTTCCTCTCTGAGATTTGAAAGCCTGTTAATGGGCAAGATGATCACTTACAGAAGGAACTTGGTAAAAGGTAGTTATAACCATCAGATCTCTCATTTTTGCACCCAATTTTCATTACAGAGGTGGCAATATAATGAGGTAATCAGCTGAATAAATAGTCTGTAAATTACACTGGATAAGATGTGTGTGGTTTATTAGTACTACAAAATGCAAATCTGAAAGCAAGTGTGTGCATGCTGAATCGCTTCGGTTGTGTCCCACTCTTTGCTACCCCATGGACTGTAGCCCGCCAGGCTCCTCTGCCCATGGGATTCTCCAGGCAAGAATACTGGAGTGGGTTGCCATGCCCTCCTCTGGGGATCTTCCCGACCCAGGGATCAAACCCACATCTCTTAAGTCTCCTGCATTGGTAGGTGGGCTCTTTACCACTGGCACCACTTGGAAGCCCTCTGCAAGCAAGGCTAGCATTCAATTGCATCTTTAATTCCTGGGACTAGCATGGACCCAACAGAGGACAGGGGCAGTCAGGACCTCTGTGTATGGCTATTGTAACATGTGCCTTCACACTATGAATTTACAGAGGTTAATCAGATGGATGTTCTGACCACTGACTTGACTCTGTCATTCAAAATTCTCTGTATGCTTCTAATGTTGAAAAATTAAACATGCCCAGAGAACTACAGAAAACAATAAATACTCAGGTACTCACAACCCAGGATTGGCAATTGTTAACATTTTGGTATACTTCCTTCAAGTCTTTTTTTTTTTTAAATAAAAAATAACCTTATAAATTTGACATCTGTGGTTGACACCAGCTCCAGATCCATTTTCCTCTCATATTCTTCAGAGGATACTACAGTCATCAATTTGGTGTATATCCTTCCAGTCTTTCAAATGTTTACATATACACATATAGACACAAGATACAGCACTGCTTTTGTGAGCTGCACTCATACTAGGCATAGTATTCTATAACTTGCTTGTGTCAATCAACATTGTGTTTCTGGGGACTGCCCTGATGGCCTGGTGGCTAAGACTCTGTGCTCCCAAAGCAGGGGGCCCGGGTACAATCCCCAATTAGGGAACTAGATCCCATATACTATCCCATGACAAAAAGATGCTGCATGCCACAGTGAAGACTGAAGATCTCATGTGCCACAACTAAGATCCAGTGCAGCCAAACAAAGAAATTTTAAAAAATATTTAAAAAGCACTGCATTTCTGGCCCATATATGTTGATTCATAAAGATATCTTGTTTGTTCCTTTTTATCTAAATGTTCCATCATAAGACAGGCATTTAACATTTTCTTCTCGAAGGACATTTATAGTTTTTCATTGTTTTGCAATTGCGAACAATGCAACAGCAAACACCCTTCTACAAGGTGTTTGAATGTATCCCCATGTAAAGTCTGACAAGAATGAATCTGCCTTTCCTCGAGGTGTGTGGAATGCTAAGGACATATTTCACTCAGTTCTTGTTTTCTACTCTTTCTAACAGGAGTCTCTGATCAAAACAGAGATGGATCCATCATGCACGGCAGGATTAGGTCAGCAGTAAATTGCAAGCCATCAGCTTATATAGATGGGGCATGTCAATATATTTTGGCTTTCTGTAGAAATGCCCTGACACAACAACTTTCTTGTCACACACAATTTGTTAGGCAGCTGCATCTCCTTTGCAAATAAAATCCTTCCTCTTGGCTGGAAGGGGCAGCTTCTGGGTGGCAGATTTTCAATTTCTCTTCTCTGTGTCATTTGCTGTTGTAGACATGGAATTTAAAGCCACATCTCAAGGCAACACATGTGTGGTCCAGAGATAGAGAAATGGCCTTGGAGTCCAGCAAGTCAGATCCACAATGCAGGTGGAGAAGGGACAATGTACTAGCAAGAGGCAGAAAAATACAGGGGCTCTGGAACCAGAAAAAAAAAAAAGATTTGAATCCATATTTTGTTACTTATTAAGTGAGGAATCCTGAAATAGTTACATTCTCTCTCCAAACCTGTTTCCTTCTCTGTAAACTGTAAATGATAGCACTTACCTCAAAGAGCTTTGAGGATTAGACCTAATACATCTAAACACCTTACACAGAGCAGCAATAAACAAACATAGGTCTGTCTTATGAAGATGGAACGAGTATTTCATCTGACTTGATTATAAGAGTAACTAAAATTGGTAGCCTTTCTTAGCTAATATGAAGGACTCAGCATTTTCTGTTGCAGAACTGAAGGCTATTCTTCCATTTCATCTAAGGGATTCAAACACATGCCATGTTCCATGGCTGCATGGGAATCACAGGTCGAGGCCAATGCACCAAGTCTGGATTCAGTTAAGGGTTTGAGACTCATGAGATGTGAATGAATCTCTTCTCCTTTCTGAGGACCCACTTGCTCCTCTACATAGGGTGAATAGGGACAACAGCCATCTCATGACATCACTGGAGGGTTCAGCAAGGTTCCCCAGCCTGTCAGCTACACTCATCTTACCCCTTCACTTCCTGCATCTGAGTGAACTTCCTAATATGGAAGTCTGACTGCATCAATCCTTCCATGGCTCCCCACTACTGAGGATGAAGTTCAAGGCTCTTAGCCGGAGTCCTGGTGCCCTCTCGGAGCTCTTTCTAGAACTCCTGCAGACTCCCAACTTGGTCCTGTCTTTGGCAATTCCTCACCTTAGCCTGCTCCCTGGTAGCTCAAATGGTAGTCTGCCTGCAATACAGGAGACCTGAGTTCAGTCCCTGGGTTGGGAAGATCCCCTGGAGAAGGGCATGGCAACCCACTCCAGTATTCTGGCCTGGAGAATCCCATAGACAGAGGAGCCTGGCGAGCTGGAGTCCATGAAGTCACAGTCAGACACGACTGAGCGACTAACACTACTACCACAGCTTAGCCTGGACATGCAGCTGCAGGAACAAGCCAGGCTCTCTCACCTCCACGCCCTTGTCCAGGCTTCTGCTTCTTCCTGGAATGCTCTTCACCCTCTCCCATTTGGCAAACACCTACTCCTATAGAAACATTGAGCTCAACCGTTCTCTCTTCTAGAAGCCTCTCCACACTCTATCTTCGGAAAAGCCAGTCCCTTCTTCTCTTGTTTTCCACTTGCTCCTGCACTATCTCTCGCAACAGTACACACAGTGCGTGCTCCCATGTTGGTTTTCTCCACGAGAACATGACCCCTTTGTGTCCTATTCATCTCAGCATCCTCAGAGCCCTGAGAGGTCCCACATAGGGGCCCACATGTGGGTAGGGTTGCCATGACCCCTTTAAGCCCTCCATTTCAGACACATTTCCTTGGATCCTGATGGACACATAGTATACACAAGGAAGGCCTTGGCTGCTTCATTCTTCTCGGGACCAGGTTGAGGTTCTTGGTATCATAGTAGCTAATAGTCAGTGAGTGCCCAATGGGCAGTGAAAAGTCATCGCCCTGGTCTCGGGTGGCACCCAGTAGGGGCTGAGTGCTCAGCAGAGCTGACCCCAGGGAACATCCAATGGGGACCAACTGCTCCTCCCACGAGAGGCTGTGCGGGCACAGCATTTATGGGATGAGTGGCAGGAATGACAGTAACCGCCCTCTCCTCCCACGGGATGGCTCACAAGGAGCCTGGGACGCAAGACAGCTTTAGCTTCTCACTGTAAGGCCAGCAGCTTCTCCTGAACCAGGAGGATCCCCCGTTAATACATCACTGGGGCTTCTTTCACTGGATCCCACCTTGAACTTTCTCTCAGATTAAGTTTGAGCTTTCAACTCAGAAAGTTTCTTTAGCCTGTTTTGCACCCAATTAAAAATAACCCTAAAAGATGAAATAAATCAGTTAGCACATAATTGCTATGAATATCTGGAGCATGTATGTGTGTGGGGGGGCATGGTTTGAGAGCAAAAATTTAGCTTTATGAACAGGTAGAGTAGGTCACTCTCATATTAAAATAATTGCTGTAAGTTGGCTTTTTTTCCTCCATACGTAAGAGACCTTTTGCTTAAAGATGTATGCTGAGGCTTTGTTCAGAATACAAAGCAAGGATCCTATTCTTCTTAGCATGATAAAATACCTTTAAACACGTCAGTTTCCTACAAGAACTTTTGTTGAAGTCGGTGGCTGGGTTCCACAATAATTTGAAGAGTTGTTGATATGGTGTTATCAGATGCATGTAAATTGCTTCAGGAGATGTTCCTGATTCAGTAGGCATGTGAGAAGGAGAGGGTCAGCATGATGCGGCTTTATATTCCCCATCATATTACTGATTAGGAAGTCATTTGGAACAATCACCTACCTGGAGCTGGGCACACTGAGGGATCCCAGGGCAGCACAGAGAAGAAACAGCTCTGCCGGTGCCCTCCAAGCCCACGTCCTGGAGGTCTTCATTTTCCCTCTGCGACAGGAAATCTGACTTCACCTCCGGGTTACATGAAGAGTCTACCCAGGGAATTCTGCCGTCAGCTTCTGTTTCTGGAGAGTAAACAGCTGGGCAAAGTAAACAGAAAGTCACCAGTGACCAGAAACACCTAGACTTTGCACAGACAGAAGACTTATCTGGGACTCCAGACACCAATGAGAATGGTGGGAAGCTCTGCCACAGCTTAGATTTTATTCATGTGTAACAGATTCTGGGGTAAGCTGCTGAGAGGACAGGCAGTCAGTGGGGCAATAAAGACTCTGTGCTCTCAGTCCAGACTGCCTGGGTTCAAATCCTTTCTCTGTAACTTACCAGCTTTGGGACCTTGGGCAAGTCACTTCACTTCGGTTTCCTCACTTGGAAAGTGGTGGGGGATCAAATAAGTACATAGAAGTCAAGAGCTTAGAACAGGCCCATACTGAGCACTCAGACATGTGAGTTTTTATTATGAAGTAGAATACAGGGTCTGGAGTCAGGCTTTGAATTCTGGTTTGCCCCTTTCTAGCTAAATGATTCTAAGAGGCTACAGAGCGTTAGAGCTTGTCTAGGTTCAAATTCTTGCTGTATCTTTTACCAGCTGTGGGACCCTGGGCAAATGATTAACCTCTCTGGGCCCAAATTTCTTCCTCTACAAAACAGGGATCATAAGAGTGCCCACCTCCCAAGACTGTCATGAAAATTAGATAGATCTAAATATTTAAAGCACTTTGAACAGTGCCTGGCACACACTGTGTAATCTATGAGTGAGCTGATACTTTTTTTCAGTTTCTGATTCTGTTTCCTCACATGTAAAATTGGGAGGTCTCTGCCTACCCATCCCTAAGAGTTGGGAGGGACAGATGAGACACTGAATATGAGAATGTTTCACAAACAGGAATTACAAAAATAGCTGTAATAGACTAATTAACCAAATACACATTGTTATTACATAAATAATGTAGGACTTTATTATATTTAGGGATAAAGAGATGGTTGGCCTAACCTTGTTGCAAAGTGATGGATAGTAGAGTATTAGTAACAGATTAAACATTTGTCCCCAGCATTTACTGATAACCCTGAGAGCCACAGTGATAGCAGCACATGAAAAAGTTCAATAAACACCTTTTACGTATCACCTGCACCCTTCACCTATCACCTCTCTCATGTTAAAGGTAAGAGGACTCGATGGTTCTGCACAGCAAAATCAGATGCCACTCATGTAGGGTAATTCAGACTTGTTTTCTTTGAGCCTGGAAAAGTGCTTCCCCTTTGTCTTTTCATTATTCTGAATGGCATTCTGTGCCTTGTTATTTCTATGTCGCTTCACCATTAAATAGGATGAAAACAAAATGTGATTCTCAGAGTCTCCTGTTTTCATTTTTGGCCATTCCTCGAGGCATGTAGGATCTTAGTTCCCCAATCATTGCACCTTGCATTGGAAGAATGGAGTCTTATCCACTGGACCACTAGGAATGTGCTCTAAGGTTCTCCTGAAATGGCATAATCCAAGCAAATGTTCACTTTGATACCTGTAGAAATGACTCCTAGAAATGACTGCCTATGGCCAGATGTGAGGTGTGTGTCTTTACCTTTTCAGGTCCATTGCAGCCAAAGCGTTAGCCCTGACTCCCAACCTGGAGGTGGTACCCACCCTGCCTGTGGCAAGGAGCACAGAAGTATGGTGTGAAAGAGGCATAGTGCAAACCCAAAGGTCATATACAAATGGCCCCAGCTCTCAAATGTACCCCTACCACTGACCTCTCAGAATAAACAAGTTAAAGTCCAAACTTCACTGACTAGGCACTTACAAAACCAATCTTCAGACCACAGAGAGTTGAAGGAACGTGGCTGACAACCATCCTATCTCTGTTGATTAAGCGGGTGTAGGTGAGGGTCCCAAGAGGGGATAGGCAGCAGGCAACTTGAGGGTGGTCTGGTAGAAAGAACACAGACTGGATTTGACTTCCTTGAACAAGCTACCCAATTTCTCTGAGACTATTTTTTTTCATCTGGAAAATGGGGATCATAATTCCTTAATACTTAGCTCGTAAGGTTGTTTTGAGGCTTAACTATATAAAACATCAAACCCTTGACTTATTTCCTGACACAGGTTGGAAGCACCAGCCTGCTCCCTGTCCTGCCCTGTCTGCTGAAACAGCTAGGCTGGGGTTTGGGAGTGCAAATAAGGAAGAGTGGCAAGGGGATGGATGGAAAGCCACAGAGGGCAAAGGCCCTTCACATTAATTGTGCCCAGAACACAGAACAGAAGCTCTGCTCTCAGACCATCCAGTGTGCATTCCACTTGTCATTATCCCAAGCTCAAGGCACCATCTCATCGCTGTCCCAAAGGATGCAGTGACCTGAACTTTGACACAATTGATTGTGGTAGTTAATCATTTGTAAACAAGCAGAAAATTGCATTTCAAGAAAGATCCATGTCCTTTCTCATGTCTGCCTGCCTTTAAGAGGAGCCACATCTTTACACGATGGGGTTCTTATTCAACCTCCTAAACTTGAAGGACTCATGGAGAAAGCCACATGTTTTAGAGAGAACAGTTACATGAATAAATCAGGTGCTCACTCACCTCTAGATTTTTTATACACGCTGTTCCTTCTGCTCAGAATATGTGCCATGTAGCTAAATATGAGTCATTCCTTACGTTTCATATTAACATTCACTTTCTCAAGAAAGTCTTCCCAATGAACTTTTCTGGGCTTGATTCCAGGCGCCAATGGATCTCCTGGAATTCCAACCTCATAGCGCCCCCTTGTGGCTTGAGGTGCTACCCAGCCTCAGGCTATGGTGATAATACAGGTATTTTTCGTGGACAGTTAGCAATTTAACAGTTTTCCTCATATATCATCTTGTTTGATCTTGACAAAAAAACGAAGTATCATCTTACATGCTCTGAGATAAGGTTCTTCAATTGGTTCTATAGTTGCTAAGAGATAAATCTATGACTAGATTCAAGTTTGTTTTTTTTTCCTTCCTGATTCCTAACATCTTCTTTTTATAATTCCTAGGCTTTACAAATGTCCTCTTAGGAATTTCCAGGACTGATGAATGTCTAGTACAATTATCACACCTCCCTCTCCATTTTCTGGCCATAGCTCTCTTCTTTGGACAGGAAAGAGGTTTTTAAAACAATCATGTGCCTTTGGGCTTTTAAGTTATATAAAGTAATTCATAGCTCCAGGTCTATGGATCTACTGACAGTGTTGTTTTTCCCCACTTTGATAATTAATTTTCTAGCCTCCAGTTCCACAATCAATGCTACATGTTTTAGGTTTTTCTTACAGCAACATTCCACTCCTGATACCCATTTTTTTTTTTTTTGTGGTAGTTAGCTTTTGCTGTATAACAAATACTCCCCAAACTTGATAGCTTAAATGAATGGTCATTTATAAGCTCAAAATTCTTTGGGTCATGAAGTAATTCTGGGCTAAGCTGGGTGGTTCTGCTAGTCTTGCCTGGGTTCACTCATGCAACCTCAGCCAGTTAAGAGGGTTGGCAGGGGGCTGGTTGCTACAGAATGGCCTTACTCACCAGCCTGAGGATCCATCCTTTCGGTCTATACATGTTGGCTGTTGGCTGATGTGAGGCGATAACTGAGTAGCATGTCTCCAAAAAAGACTAATTAACCAAGGCTTTTTCACAGTGATCTTCATGGTTCCAAAGAGCAGCAGGAAAGCATAGGCTCCAATGCACAAGTGCTTTTAAAGCATCTGACTGCAGTATGTGTCTTAAGACATGGCCAAATCCACATTCAAGAGATGGAGACATAGATAATACCTGTTGACAGGAGGAAAAGCAGAGTCACTTTGCAAAGGGGTATGCATCAGGGCTTGGTGGAGAGAATTTGTGGACATTCTGCAATCCACCTCAAACATGCTACTTTCATGCTGCAGCAGTTAAGAGCCAGCATGCCTTCTCCATTTCTCTCTTCTTCTGTGCTGGTGACTTCAAAGCATGAGCTTAGGTAACAGTGTCTGATGATGGAGGGAGCCTACAGCCCTGACACTGGTTGAGGAGAGTGCCTGCTGATCCATGAGGAACTTCCTATGAGTGAGATTTAAACTTAAATTGTGCTACTTCATTGAGATTTTGTGGTCTATATGTTACTACCTGGCTAATACACTCTTCTGTTACATATAAAATTCAGTGTGTATGTGTGCTTTTCTATAGGAAAAAGTCTATAGCTTTCTTCAGATTCCAGAAGGATATGAGATTCAAAAGAAGTAAAAATAAAATGAAACAAGAAGCAAGAATTCCCTCAAGAGCTAGAACTTCTTCAGCTCACAGAATTATCTGTGGTCTCTTTGAAGGCAGTGCAAAGTAGTCTGAAGTGTTTGGGACATCAGACAGGCCTAGATTGGCATTTCATTTCTCTCATTTATTAGTTTATATCCTGAACAAATCCCTTAAGCCCTCCGAGCATGGGTTTCCCTAGTTTCCAGTGTAGGCTTGTTGAAATAATGTTTCAATAATCATTTACTGAGAGCTACTAGATGCCAGGCACAATCCTAGGTGCTTCGATATACAAACCTTCCTGTAAGAGCTGGCACCATGGTGAGAGGGAGAGACACAGTCATATATCAAGGCAGTACAGTGTGATGAGTATAGTGATGGAGACACGCAGAGTATGGTTTGGATTTAGATGAGTGTGTGTGTGCATGTGGTCACTGGGAAATGTTTCTCAGAAGTGAGGCTTGAGTTGGGCCCTAAGGGGTCAGGAGGAGTTAACAAGCCAAACACCAAAGGGAGGATGTATGGCAGTTCAGGGAAAGGTCAGAAAAATGAAGATGCAAAGGTAAGAAATTACACAGCATGTGCGGGGAACCTAAGACATTCAGTGTTACTGGAGTCTGGAGTTCAGCTTGAGCAGCGGAAAGGAATGAAACTAGAGGGGCAGGTGGGAGTCAGATCCTGTGGGGCTCGATGGACAGGGCTAATGATGTGGATTTTATCCTCAGTGCAAGGGGGAGCTCTTGATGGGTTGCGGGAGGGAAGGAAGGGGGCAGCTTTCTTTGTGAGAGATTGCTAGGCTGCGGTGTAG